CCTGCAACAAACAATTCAGCAAAATAGTTAGTGAAACAAGCCGACACTTCCTCATTTCCGCGCCACCATTGTCCTCCCTCATCTCTAATCTTCCTGATTGTATTTCTCTTTCTTCGCAAAGAGGCTTTACGGTGAAAAAAGGTGGTGTTCTTGTCACCTCCCCTCAACCAGTCAGCCCGTGATCGTTGCTTCCAGAATAATTCTTCATCACTTTCCAGCTCATCAAGCTCCACTTGCAGCTTGTTTCGTTGTTGGAGGACAGTATCAGTCTGCTCCCTTCTTTCTAGAGCTTTCAAAGCTCTTCGGATTCGTTCCTTTTGCCGCCGGAAATTTGGGAAAGCAGTCTTGCTCCATTGATCCAACTTTTCCTGTACCTGCACGATTTTGGACATAGCATCCCCTGTCGTCGCAGTCCATGCATCCCGTATTTTGTCCGCACACTCTGCATGCTGTGCCCACAACGGCTCAAAACGGAAGGACCACCCCCATTTAATATCCTCATCCTCCTCCCCTCTCGAATCACAAATGATGGGTCTATGGTCCGAACGAGCGTAGTCCAGGTGTGAAACACGTCCAGCCGGCCACAAGGACCGCCAGTTATCATTTGCCAAGAAGCGGTCTAATCTTTCCTCCACATATCCTCCCCTTTGTCTCCTGTTTTCCCACGTGAATTTTGGACCATGGAAGCCCAAATCTTGCAGACCCGTCTCACTCAGGCAGTCGGCGAAAGCATTCATCTCCTGCTCATTACCCAAATTTCGACCCCTCTTCTCATTGTCGGTGAGGATCAGGTTAAAGTCCCCGCCACAAATCCATGGACCCTGCCACCGTCCCGCTAGTTCTCGCAACAGGTCCATAGTCTTATGCTTCTCGTTCCCTTCAGGCCACCCATAGATACCAGAGAACCGCCATATACCTACTTGGGTTTCCTCAATCTTCACATCCATAAAGTTTGCCGATCCATCCATAATAGTAGCTTTTACCTCTTCTGTCCACCATACCGAAAGGCCCCCTGCCCGACCCCCTCTCGAGGTGTCACAAGGCCAACTCTCGCCATTGCCAAAACCCAATTCCTTTCGCAGCTCCTCATTCTCACCGCTAAGCTGTTTGGTTTCCGACAGGAAAACCAGCTGGGGGGAAATCCGTCGCAAAAGCGACTTCAAAGCTCTAACTGCTCGTGTATTTCTCAGAACACGGCAGTTATAGCAGAGAAGCCTCATTTAACAACCGAAGGGGATCGGTTCCCCGCACCATCAGCTCTTTGGGAATTTTCCCCACTAGATTCCTTTCGACTTCCTGCACCTGCATTACTCTCTCCCTTCTTTTGTTCCAGCTTCTTTCCTTCATCAATTTTACCTTTGGACTTACCCATGCTCCCATGTGGGACTTGAACACCTTGCCCCTTCCTCACATCAGGACCCTTTCGGCCCCCAGCTCCCTCTTTGGCCCCCATATCTTGTTTGCTTGACGTATTCGCTTTTGGGTAGTTCTGGGCCTGAACGCCCGTCGGGACCTGCGTTGCATGTGTAACTGCATGGGGCTGGTAACGTAGCTCAGGTCCTTCTTGGCCTACACTCTCCTCACCACCACCCTCATTACCCTTATCGGACTCCTTTTCATCTTCCCTATTCTCCACCTGGGTCGTCTCCCTTTCCAACTTTTGGAACCTATTCATACCTATTTCTTCTTTCTTTTTTTCCTTTCCCTCCTCCTTCCCCCGATCATATCCTCGCCCCCGCCTCTTCACGACCATCCAGTCGCCATATTTTTGGCCCTGCGTTGGATCCACCCTTCCCTCCGGTTCCACTTCTTTATTACCCTCCACTTCCATTGCACTTGCTAGTTTCGCACATTGACATGTCCCAGCCTTTTTTCCGTACGTCCCACAACAGGTACAGAGGTCATCCAGGCCCTCATACTGGACCAGGTATGTAACACCCTCTATCTTAAATTGTGATAGTAGCGGTTGCGTTAGGTCAACCTCAACACATACCCTAGCATACTTTCCTCGGGCACCCAGTTCAGTAGCTCTATCCACTCGTACCGGTCGTCCCAGCCATCCCGCAATCTTCATCACAGCTTCTTTATTTATGAACTCGATCGGCAGTTCGGGTAACTGAGCCCACACCATCGTTGATGTTACCACAGTCTTCCACGGGTTGAAACCCTTAAACCATCTGTGAACCGTCAAGTAAGTGTCCCCCAGCAGCCATGGCCCACCCAATGTCGCCCATTCATAATCCTTCTGGTTACGGAATCGTACTAAAAAGCATCCATTCCTCATGTCCGAGATCTGTAGGTCGCCATGTCTAGCCCATATTGTATTCAGTCGGCGTGCCAACGGGATATAGGAGACCCTCCTTCCCAGACCCTTCACCACCAAAGTCGAGCGCCACTCTCGGCGCCACCTTGTCTTCTCCGCTGCAGTAAAAGGAATGGTCGGGCATTTTGGGTCCTCTTTTTCATCATCAATCTCATCATCTTCTTCCTTCTCTCTTTCTAACACGTCCTCAGAGTCTGACTCAGCTACATACCAATGGTCTTGCTGCAGTATATCACTAAAACTCATACCCTTCTTCGCCTGCCATGACGCCTTAGTTGCGTTCCCCTCTTGTTCCGTGTCCATCTCCTCCGCCGTTAAGTCCTCAACATCCACTGCCTCCCCCTCAAAATTCAGAGTGCGAACCTTCTTCTTTGGTTGTACCGTTTCTCTGGCGCTCTTGCCATCTGGGGTAGAGGAAGCTTCAGCTGGGCGTCGTTGGCCACTCGAGACCTCCGGGGGCTTACCAGCCACAGCCGGCGACGTCGGCTGCTTCGCCGCCGTCATTCAGCTCGCCGAACCCTAGCAACCTTGCTTTCGCGATTTAGAAAACCTCCGATTTTTTCGGAGCTCTTTTTTGCTAATTCTCCTAATCGTCCTTCCTCTCCCTCTCACCTCCATCAAAACCCAGAAAACAGTATTCGGAAACCCCAAACCCGAATTCGCCAAAAGCTACCCTAAAGATCGACATGCAAATAGAAAGGGTTGATCTTTTACTTTGCCGCCGTCACTGTCATCATCTCCAGTATCAATCGTCTTCTTTTTCCTACGCCAACAATTTGTAGTGGGGGAAAATAACACTCTAAGGTGAGTGATCTAATCACGCCTTCAATCCGATTCTTTTCTACTAGTTCCTGACAATCTTAGAGTGTTATTTGTTGCTATTGAAAAATGGATTCCAGAGTAAAGAATACGTTGAAGGCATGACAAGAGAAAAAGAAGCAAACAGTCGACAATCATTGTAAAAATGGTTGGTTCCGAAGAGGAGAAGAGGGACAGTGGCACTCGAGTCTCGACGGTCATCGGGAAAGCAACAATTGATGTTAATTTTCCCCCTTGGTTCTGAAGAGGAAAATGTGGCATTCGATAGTCGTCGGAAAAATAGGTACTGACTCACTCTAACTACAACATCCCAATTGGCGACCAAGTATAACCGGCGATCGGGTGTAGCATAGGGCAAGCAAGCAATAAGAATTTATCGTACCACGGGGATCTAGGCTTACCCTACTTCAGGTTTAGGGTTCGTTATCTAGCTAACCTAGGATAGTGATTAATACAACTAAACTAACGAACCTAGTCTAATCACTAATCCTAGCTATTTATAAGGTAGGGAGCTCCCTTGTATTAAATCCCCATATTTTCGACCTTTGGATCGATGTTGAGTATCCTCCTAGTTCGATCTACCCATCATCCTACCGGTAGGAGATGAACTCCTTCGGGATGGACCCAGAATGGTGAAGTGATGGATGGGTAGGAGCTCTACTCAACCTTGGGCACCCCTATATCGTAGGAGATTGATGGAATCAACTCCCTTGGGGATTTTGAGAACGATATAGGGTGAGAAGTGACCCGAAGACGCCAATAAAGGGCTAAAAATGGGATTTTCTCCCTCCTAGGTCAAAAGCTCAGTACATGAAAATGGAAACCCAACTCACGTCATTTATGAAAAAATCCATCAATCAAGTATAATCATCAATCAAACATGGAATGTGTCACATACATCAACATTAAACCCAAATCTCGACATAGGGTTCTTAAACCCAAGAGAAGAGGGTGAGTTTCTAGAGAGAGAAGAGAGAAATTACAAATTGGAGCCCAATATCTTATTCTTCTAGGCTTGAATCCTTGTCTCCAAGATCAACCCAATCCTCCAATTAAGCTCCAAGATCACTCAAGCACTTTCTCTCTCTCACTAGAACTCCCCTTTGGTGTTTGGGTTAAAACCCTAGAGAGAGAATCGAACCCCTCTCCAAAAACCAGCTCTCCCTTTTCTCCCTTCTGTTGCTGCCTTTTATACCAAGATCGAAGGTTGTTCACGGTCTGAGTTCACGGCTATGAACTCAAAGCCTGGACCGTGAACTCAAACCAATTCGCGCTGTTTCACTACAACACTTCACGATCTAGAGCTGAAGTTCACGGTCTTATGACCGTGAACTGACTTGGCGTCACTAACCTATGGAAGTGCTCTGGAACCTGGCCAGTTCACGGTCACAGGGATGCAATTGTCATTGTCACTTTGGGCATTTTTTCGTGCTTTTCGATCTCCAATCGACCCAAAACTCGTCCCCGACCTTCCCACACTTACTAGGACCGGGAATGTAACAAAACAAACACAACCTAGCATAAAATATGCCGAGGGACGGTGATCTAATAAGCAAAACGGACAAGTAATGAGGGGTAAAATGAGTGCATTTGGATCTGAATCACTCGCCCACACTTGAATGTTTGCTTGTCCCCAAGCAAACCAAGCACAAAACAAGGTAAGCTTACAACTTATTTTTCAACAAAATTTTTGGGGCATTCGTAAGGCACAAAACGAATGAATCACAATGGTTATTTGACACCGACCTATGGACAAAAACAAAGTAATCTTGGCAACCACCACAAACGACATTCAACCATATTAAGATTGTGCAAAAGAAGAGTTCTCACATTATTCAGGAACCAACACACAACATGCCTTGACGTCTGACATTTACTCATGCATGAAGATCACATCATAGGAATGAACAGTAGAGCAACCTAGGTCCTCACCGGGGTATAAGAAATGAACAAAACATGATGAATGAATCACTCACTCTCGACAGTGGGGTCAGGACCATTTTACTGCTTTGTACTGGAATCCAATTCCAGTAGTGTAGTTCTGTGCTTATTGCTTCAGCTATCTACCCCGGTGAAGACTAGTCGTCTGCCGGGTAGTTAGACTGAGAGGGCTTGGTCAGCTTAAGAGATTCCAAGCTACTGTCGGATCTTCCGCAGTCTAATCAACAGTAAATCAACCCAGGGTAATTACAATTGAGACCTAACTAAGGAGCTAGGGGGACTCATTCCCGAGTGACTCTTCTTTGCTTGAGAAAACCGTACCAATTCCTGCTTTCTTACTGCGATTACACTTGGTCGCAGTTTGGTGTTGTGTTTTAGCCTGTCACAACCCCTCCCTCCTCCCGGCTTGACACTTTTGGAGAAGGTGGAATGGGCTTGTCCAAGCTATCGCCTCTCATTATTGGAGGAGAAGGTGGAACGGGCTTGTGCAAGCTATCGCCTCTCATTATTGGAGGAGAACGAGGAGGTTGAAAGGGCGAGCAATGACAACTGTGTGGAGCAAGACGAACTCACCTCGGAGAGCTCACATGGTGAGGATGAACAAGAAGGTTGCATTGACGAATCTTGTCACTTTCCCCTTCCCGAGACCAACTTTGAAGACCAAGACACGAGTGTGGAGGAGCAAGAGAATCCTTTCTATGATCTTGCATGGCTCCTTGCCCTCCAAACCGTGCTTGAATACATGAAAGGAAAGGAGAAAGAAGAGGGTGAAAAAGAAAGATGAAGAGGAAAGCCTCGAGGAGGAATTGGAACGCTCGAAAGTTATCACGGATGGCCACCATGATGTTCGAGACTTGGAATGTCCTCTTGAGGAAGCCACCACTCTTCCACATTTTACCCCAAGCGTTGTAGAGGAAGTCCTCAATGAAGAGATGAGTGTCAAGTCAATCGAAGACATATCTTGGAGACTCGCTATTCAACGCTTGCTTGCGGAAGAGCGAGGAAAGATGAGGAAAGAAGAGGTTAAAAGAGGAGGAAGCGAGCTTTAAAGAGAGGTAAGATCTCGAGTGTTCCCAACGGGGGGAAATTGAAGAAGAAGGAAGGGAGGTTGAAGAAGAAGTAGAAGGAGCAAGTGAAGTCCAAGATGAAGATGAGGTCGTGGTGGATGAAGCTTCAACAAGTTACAAGTGCGAACAAAGCTTTCCACCCGACCTCGATGCGCTTTTGGAAAAGGACCCATTTGCGGCTCTTTGCCAAGACAAGGCCAAACCATCGCTGATCCCTCTTGGTGGATGGGATGGAAACCAATCGAGTATGCACTACATGGGGCAAAGGGAAGAAAGAAGAAGGAACGAAGAAGAGGTCTCGTGGATGGAGCCTCAAAACCACTCAAGGTCACGAGCCCTCAATCATGAACTCGTCCAAAGCTCGTGACTTGAGACACCACCTCACCGACGAGAACCTCAACTTCAAGGAGGTTCTTGGGTGGACCGAAACTTGAAGAGCAACCGTCCGGCTCACGACATTAAAGAAGCGCTTGGTGGGATGAAACCCAACCATCAACGGTTTACATTTCTTTTCCATTCAATAAGAAGACCAATGAAGAGATTTTGGTGGTGTTTTGACGTCTCCTTGCTCTTCCGGATCTCACCCGCCCTTCGCTCCCGATCACCAACATTCAAAACTTGATCCACACGGTTTTCATTGATTGCCCTTTTAACCTCCTCGCTTTCCTCCAATGAAGAGAGGCGATAGCTTGCACAAGCTCGTGTCACCTTCTCTTCTAATGTCAAACAGGGTGGAGGGAGGGGTTGGAAATCCATGTTGGAGCATTCTCTTTCAAAATTTTCCATGGCAAGCTCCAATCTGAACTTCTCTTCGGGTTGTGGGAGATCCAAGTTCGAGCACCCTTCATCGGTGCCTCGCGCGAACCGCTCCACCATGAGCTCCATTTTTCTCTTTGGCTCCAGTTGCGCAGTGGCCAACGATCTTGAGGAATGCCTCGTGAAAGCTTCCATGGCCAACTCCAACTTGGATTTCTCCTCGGGTTGTGGAGGGAAATCTTCTTGATATGGGGAAGCCTCTTGGCATCCCCATTGGTATGGTTGCTCTTATTGGAAGGGAGGTTGATCATAGAACCCAGTTCCTTGGCTTCCACCTTCTTGTTCACTCCATGAAGCTCTAGGGTACCCCTATTCAGGTGGTTGTGGATACCCCCACATATTGTAGAAGCCATTAGGATCCATAATTCAACCTACAAACACAAAACACAAAAACAAAATCAAACAACCCAAACCACCCTTTAAGAGAAGAGTGGGTCAACAAACACAAAACATAAAACAAAACGGCTAAAGTAACGACCTAACCCTTTTTCAAATAACCAAGAATGGCTCCCTGGAAATGGCACCAAAAACTTAACTCACTCTAACTACAACATCCCAATCGTCGACCAAGTATAACCGACAACTAGGTGTAGCATAGGGCAAGCAAGCAATAAGAATTTATCGTATCACGGGGATCTAGGCTTACCCTAATTTAGGTTTAGGGTTCGTTATCTAGCCAACCTAGGATAGCGATTAATACAACTAAACTAACTAACCTAGACTAACCACTAATCCTAGCTATTTACAAGGTAGGGAGCTCCCTTGGATTAAATCCCCCTATTTCTGACCTTTGGATCAATGTTGAGTATCCTCCTATTTCAATCAACCCACTATCCTACCATTAGGAGATGAACTTCCTCTGGACGGACCCGGAACGGTGAAGTGATGAATGGGTAGGAGCTCTATTCAACCTAGGGCACCCCCTATATCATAGGAGATCAAGGGAATCGACTCACTCGGGGATTGCCCGGATGATATAGGGTGAGGAGTTGTTTCCCTCCTAGGTCGAAAGCTCGATTGACTAAATTAATCTATCGTTAGGAGATGGACTCCCTCGGGAATGACCCAGAATGGCGAATCGATGAATGTGGTAGGCTCTATTCAACCTAGGGCAACCCTATATCGTAGGATATTGATGGAATTGATTCCCTCGGGGATTGTTCGGACGATATAGGGTGAGGAGTGACTTGAAGACGCCAATAATGGACTATAAGGGGATTTTCTCCCTCCTATGTCAAAAGCTCAATACATGAAAATGGAAACACAACTCATGTCGTTTATGAAAACATCCATCAATCAAGTAAAATCATCAATCAAACATGGAATGTGTCACATACATCAATATTAAACCCAAATCTAGACCTATGGTTCTTAAACCCAAGAGAAGAGGATGAGTTTCTAGAGAGAGAAGAGAGAAATTACAAATTGGAGCCCAAAATCTTCTTTCTTCTTCTTCTTCTTCTTCTTCTAGGCTTGAATCATTGTCTTCAAGATCAACCCAAGCCTTCAATTAATCTCCAAGATCACTCTAGCACTCTCTCTCTCTCTCACTAGAACTCCCTTTGGTGTTTTTTCCTTTTGATTTTACTATTTGCTACGGATTCAAGTATTTAATTAGCTTCTGACTTCATTTTTCATTTTCGCAGATCCTTAGCGAAAAAGGAAGGTAGTGATATTTCCCTCTTTTTATCTTAGTGTTTAGGGTGTTTTTCATTAAAAAAATGGTTTGGTTTAGGAATTCAGAAGTATGTTGTGAGTTGAAATTTAGATTTTTGGTCAATTTGAAATAGATTGATGTTATGCAAATTTGAGATTTGATTTTTATGGTTCTAGAACCAAGATTCAACTCTACTACTCTAATTAGGTTTATTTATTGGTTTGGTAAAATTCTGAATTTTGCTTACTATCGGTGCTTTTGGTTTTGGTACAAAAAATGTTTAGTTTAAAGGGGATGGTTTTAGACCAAAGGGGATATTTCAAAAGACCTCCCAAAATCGAGTATTAATTATCAAGTTGCTTTATTATTTTGAGATTGTTTAAGTTTGCCAAAGCTGAGCTTACTTATCAAGCAGTTGGATGTTAGCTTATTATGTGATATGTGTGGTGGAATAAACAAAGGGGAGAAGAAGAAAACAAAATTAAACAATACAAATATAGTTTTTGCTTGTAATAAACTGAAGCATGGAAATGTTAAAATGACAAGATGAAATAGATGTAAACAAAAAGCTGAGAGTAAAGTCATAAATCTTATTTTATTGATTGCTTTGCTATTATAGTAAACATGGAATGGCTCGAGTATCATTCTTTTTAAGATTTATCAGGGTCAAATGGTAACTCGACTGGGATTGATTGAGTTTGATACCCCTTTAAATCAATTTAGTCATCTCGTAATTTGATTGGGGTTGAGGTTGTTTACACCTAAAATATTATTTTTAATAATTACTATATTTTTGCGGCGTCGTGAGAACAACCACGCCGCGAGATAACAGTATCGCGATACGTAGCGATGCCGCAAGTTTAACGACGTTGCGAGTTCGACGACGGCATAGCGAGGTTGACGATGTCGCGGTCACGAGTTCGACAATGCCACGAACTAAATACTGGGAGTTCAGTGGCGTTGCAAGGGTGAGATCTCAAAGACACCGTGGTGGGTGTCAACGCCGTTGTTGCGGTTGCAATGAGTTTGTGATTTCGATAGCAACACATCATTGTTTAGTCAATTCAGTTGTGATCACGTCAAGTTTAGCTGCATTCCGAATCTAAGCTCATCTTGGCAGCATGGCATCGTGAGATTCTACAACGTCACGGAGTTAAACGGTGTCGCGAAGCCAACACCGCCGTGGATCTCAATGGTGTCGTAAGTTCAATAACACCATGGGTTAAACGACTTTGCGAGCTGAACGATGTTGGGAGTCCAATGGTGGTGTGGGGTGAAACAACAATGTTTTTTAATCGATGGCGGTGTTGTGATTCAAACCGTTGTGGTACAAAGTTGATGTGTGCGCACGTGGCTTTTACGCATGGAAGATTGGAGAATGGACGCGAGGCAGTTGAAGACTACGACTCCGTGGAGAAAAGTCAAGACACATGGGAGTTTACGATGAAGCAGTTGAGGAAGCAGTTCCTCGGAGCATGAAAATTACGCAATTGATTTCAAATAAAATCACCGGAGCAAGGAGAGAGAGGGGAACCAAATCAACACAGAAACACATCTGTCAAACTTACCTTTTTCTCTGTAACTCCTTTCCGGAGCTCTCCTTCCAGGAAGGATCTTCATAGTTGTAGCAGTAGTCGTAGTCGCGGAGCTCTTCACATGAATCTCCATAGGAGTAGTTGTAGCGTAGATTCCACCAAAAATCTCAAACACCCTCGTTCGAACATTGTTTGGAGAGGTGTGAACCGTAGTAACGGTCGTTCTTGGTTAGAAGTCAGAGGTGTATCGATCAAATCAACATGGCCCAGCGGTGGATATTTGACGATCGCAGTCAGAGTTGCACCGATCAAATCAACACCACCCGGCGGTGGATATTTGACGGTTGTCTTGATTTCATCAATCAACGGTGAATCTGATCAAACAGCACCGCAAGAGTTTCCAACGCGAAACATCAAATCAACATCGTCGGAAACAAATTCGGCACCAGCAGTGGATATTTGGTTTCTCGGGAAACAATTTGGCACAACTGGTGGGACGCTTGTGTTTGATGTGAATACGGCTCTGCGTCGAGGAAAACAAGATCGTGATCTTCCACATGTACCTGTGGGAGGAGGAGGCGCCCGACATTGAAGTTGGTCAGGCGAACGAGGTAGATAGACATACTCAAGGGATGGAGGAGTTGCTACATGGTGAAATTCTATATCTACGTCAATCCATGGAGGAGTTTCGCTAATCCATGAAGGAGTTTCACCAAGAGGTAAATCTCCAATTTGATAATCTAGAAAAGAAAATGGATAAATTTGAAAAAGACATATCGATGGTGTGATAAGTTGGATAATTGTTTTTCTGATTTTAATATGTCAATATGTAAAGCCACGAATGATTTAGAAAATCAATCACGTGTGAGTAGCGAGCAAGTGTATTATTCGCCAATTTGTGTGGATCGATCGCTTTTGCAGTGTCGTGACCAAAGTAATGGTTAATCTAACGTTGCTCATATCAATATTGAACAATCCAACTTGCAATGTATGGCTGGTAGTGAAATTATGGGAGCCAACCGTATCAATAGTGGTGGACCTGATAGTGTCAATCAAACTCTATCGCCGATTATGGCTACAACAGTGTTGCAAGAAGCGAGCAAACCCAACATGTCTTTTCTGGTGAACAACATTGTTCTTAAGGACAACCAAGTTGGAGATGACTTGCAGAGTCACACTTGAGGATAAACAGTGTCGTTAAAAGTAATAATCTAGATGGACAGTCTATTCACGTGGATGTTGAGCATGGAAAGATCGACTCTCACGTGTTGTCAAAGCAACATCGCAATGGTATTCAAACTAAACCGCTAGGGGGTATGAGATCCCACCGCATGACTGGTTGAAAGAAAAACAACATTGAAATTGGCATACAAGTTTGCCAAATCCACTCTGTATCCATTGTCCCAAAAACTCCAATCTCACGTGCAAAAGATCATGGCACTTACATACGTGTTGGTGGAGCTCGCAACCGTTACTCCCAACAATATGTTGAGGGTGTACGACTTACAAAACCAAACCAGCCTGAGCAAGCAAGGCCACATGGTCGACTTGGTAAGACAAAGATGCCAAAAAATGTGGAAGTCTTGCCGAGAGCGAAGAATAACAGTGATTTTTCATGTCACCGACGAAAACTGATGGTTGAGGTAAAGCTAAATCGAGCTTGTAGGATCTCAAACAAGGATGTTCGAGATAAACGAGCTGAAAAGTTTCAAACCAGCACTGACTTCAAAACTTCTCGGCCGTGTGTAAAGCCAGTTGTGATGAGTCATTGTGTTCACGGATGGCTTGTTTGGTTTACACCGTGGAGTTGGCAGTGGGTGTGTACTTTTGGCAGGATGGCTTATGCCAAAGCCGACCATGTTTTTGTGTAGCTATTTTTAAAATATGGCCAAGTTCGGCCACGTGATATGTATATTTTTTTAAAATAAATAATAATAAGAAGAAGTCTCGCAGCCTTGCCAACATGAGGCCATTAATTTTTTAGTTGGCTCTTCGGGTTGGAGAAAAGAGAAGTCCTGTTGGGGTCAATACGCGACAGTTTAGGCTAAAAAAAATGTTGCTACGTAAAATTTGGCTAAACAATGTTGTGGAGGAAAAGTTGTTATGGTGAGAAGACAGTGTTGCAAGTAAATGATTTTATGTTATCTTATTTCTGTGAGGCCGCACTACTGGTGGGTGATAAAAAGAGTCTAAGCGGGTGTTGGGAACTTGCCGCAACATTGCGGGAAAAGAAAGAGAGCGAACAGCCTTGAAGTGCTTGCTGCAGCGTCGGTGGCAAGTAAAAGAAAATTATTAGACGCCACCGTTTGCGATGAAGCAAGAGAGGATGGCGAGGTTGTTGGGGAAAAAGAAAAAATAATAATAAACAAAATACTGCCAAAACAACGACGTTGATGGAGAAAAAAGGAAGGAAATCAGAGTTGTTTGGGATGAAAACGGCGCTACGAGACCACACAGCAGGCCGCAATAATATTTTAAAAAAATCGTAATGCTTGCAGTGCTGGTAGAGCAGCAACTACGTCGTTTTGGGGATTTAGTAGAAAGACAGCGCTCCTGAAGGCCAAACAAGGTTGCGGTTTTACTTGGACGCCAAAGAGAATCACAAGTCAAGTAGACCTGAATTGGCGAATAAATAAAAAGAAAATATAAAAATAGAGACCTGGTTCTCTGCATAAATTAAATTGCAAGCAGTGTCGGGGCTGCAATCCTGTTCTGTTTCGTTTGAATAAGGATTAATAAAAAAAAGAGTTGGAATATATATATATATATATATATTTAATTGGCCGCATGAAGGATAAAAAAACATTGTTGTTTTAGCTGGAGCAGCATTGCAGGTCTGCGATACGCAAGGGCGTTGACTATTTGTTTCCCGTAAAAAATAAAAATTCAGCCAATAATGGTTTAGGAAAATATTTGATAGCATTGCTGGTTGCTAGTTGCTGCAACGTTGCAATATTGGGAAAAGAACGCTGAAGCCAACGTGATGGCTAATTTCAAATCCCTATTATTTTAATATAATAATAATAATAATAATAATAATAATAATAAATGGTGGACCTTGTTATTTTAGGGGGTACCGTACCACCATCCTTTTCTGTTTAAAGTTTAAACAACATTGCGCCAAAGTGGTCGCACGGATTTGGGGGTGAGTAGCAACGACGTTAAACAACATACTTGTTTTGGCCAAAAGTTTCTTGCAACGGTGGCCATAGTGGTGGGATCAACAAGGAAGCAGTCTGACAAAACCTTATTTGGAGCATTAAATAAGGAAAAATGAAGTAGCGGCGTTTTTTTTGCTGCATATATAACATTGCAAGGATGCCTGCGAGTAGAGTTAAATCTCGTTTGTTTCCTCTTTTCTTCCTAAAATAATCGCAATATTGTTTGGGCTAGCATAGCCAATGAATTGGCTCATCGATATTGCAAAATTGCAATGCCACTTGTGTCGAGAATTTCTTGAGTAGTATAATATCTTGAGTAGTAATATATTTCGCGAGGTTGACGATGTCGCGGTCACGAGTTCGACAATGTTGCGAACTAAATACTGGGAGTTCAGCACTAATAGATAAAGAGACTTGTTATTTGCCGTTCGTGTCATTACTATTTGCCGCCCGTAAATTAAACTAAAAATTTATTTTTGCCCTCCATAATTTTTTTATATTCTATTCTTTGGTTTGGTTTTTTAAACTACACACACTCATCGTAGCCTCACACCACCACCCGACCACCAACCCGCAAACACCATAGCCGGAGTCACGACCACCGCACGGGAGCCTAAGTCGCCAGCCACCGGACCACCATCAACGTAAGTCGCCGGCCACCAGACGGCAGCCGTACCACATCGTCGGACCAGCGAATGAGGTAAACTTCCTCCTGTAATTATTTTGCCCCGTCCGACGACGGCGAGCAGACCCCGTCCGACCGTCGGAGGCGGACCCCTTCCGACCCCTGCGAGCGGACGGCGTCCGATCCAGCCGAGCGGACAGCGTCCGATTCCGGCGAGCAGATGGCGACCAATGCCGGCGGTTTTTTTTTTGTGTATTTTGATGTATATTTATGTTATTATTAATTCTAGATCTAATAATTTAAATTTAATTTATTGCTTTTATTTTTATTTTACACAGTTAATTTAGTATGTAGTTTGAATTAAGCGATTGTGTTTTGTTGTAGCGCTAATTAGTTTATTGTGTTTAGATTTAATTCGTAGAGCTAATTTGGTTTAATAATTTATATTTATTTAAATTTCTTATCGTCAAATTATCGTTATTTTGTAGAGTTAATTAAATTACATTTAGTTTAATTTTGTAGAGTCAATTGAAGCACAATTAGTTTAATTAAGTGATTGTGTTTTGTTGTAGCGCTAATTAGTTTATTGTGTTTAGATCTAATTCGTAGATCTAATTTGGTTTAATAATTTATATTTAATTAAATTTTTTATCATAAAATTATCATTATTTTGTAGAGTTAATTAAATTATTGTATTTAGTTTAATTTTGTAGAGTTAATTGATTTTAGTATTAATTGATTCATTAGTTAGTTTAGTATTGTTGAATCATATAATTTGTATCTTTCTAACGAGTTGTAAAATCATAATTGCAGGTGGACATGGCTTACAATGTAGAACTAAATGATAATTACACAGACAATTTTCTCAATGACGTCCAATATGACAATTTCGAAGATGTAACAGTGACCAAAAACATCGCGATGTCTCTTGGTTTCTTTCTAATTAAGGGATCGATGAAGCCATGTGAGTTGCGCAACAAAAGAGTATTGGGTATGTGTTATATGTATTGCGACAGATGCGGTAGGGAGAGGAAGTCATACAAGACGGATCCTTCCAAGGAGAGTCGTGGCAATACAAGTTCAAAAGGGTCTAATTGCATGTTGAAGGTTAAAATCCAAGAACTACTTGTTGATCGAGATGCTCTTAATGGACCTACATTCTGGGAGATACAAGAAGTGAGGGAGCAAGAAACCGGTTTAAGGCGATGGTATAACAATCATGAGAAGATGCTTTATCCGGAGGGCCAAAGTCAAATGAAGAAATTCAGTTAGGAGGATAAAGAATCTTTGAAGCAAATAAGAGATGTTGGGGTACCTCTGTCGCAACAGAAGCAGACAATAAACATGCAGAAGGGTGACAAAGGGCATCACACCAAAATGCAAAACCTCAGGTCCAAGTCTAGGAAAGACGAGATGGGCGAGATGAATGCAGTATAGTATGCGTTGCAACTTGCAAGCAGCTGAACGTGAGAATTATCATATAGAGGTTATGAAGGACGATAACGACGTGCTTACCCATTTTTGCCCATCCAACTTCCATCCAGATGTTGAAGGCTTGGCCGTACGTGATTCTAATCGACTCAACGTATAGGACAAATGCGTATAAAATGTCGTGGGTGGAGGTCGTAGGTGCTACTCCCGTTTGGAAAAATTTCAACATATGTTGTGCTCTCATGAAGGAGGAGACAAAAGAGGCGTATCATTGGTTGTTGGAGTGCATAAAACAATTGCTCTATCCACGCGTGTCCACTGCCATCATCATCGACCATGAAGGTGGACTACTTGCTACAGTTTCTGTGGTCTTCCCCGACACCCCCGCATTTGCTATGTGTTTGGCACATCAACACAAATGTGCAGAAGAAAGTTTTGGAAATATTTGGGAAGGACAAGATGGATTTGGTCAACGAGGCTTACGATCACGGTTGGTGTCTATGCTTTATTCTTGGTCCAAGCAAGGTATGTTGGCTGCGTTTGGCCGCTTTAGGGCAAGATGGAGCAATTACGAACCACGTCTGTTGCAATACATACAAGGAGTGTGGTGGCAACATCGAGAGAAGTGTGCAGTTTGTCATACAAAAAATGTGTTTCATCTAGGAAATACGAGCACAAACAGGGTTGAGGCGTCACATTCCGCATTGAAAACTTTCTTCCACAACTCGCGGGGATCTATGGACACTGTATGGAAAGGAAACCGCCGCTACATTACTAACCAACTTGGGGAGGTTAGGATCATGTTGGAAAACCCTCGACAGAAAACCCTTTCAGCATCCAACGGTACACCCTTCAATACTTGAGAAGGAAGGTCAGCATGCAGGCAATTATATTGATGAAGAAGGTTGAAGAAGATTTGGCGGCCCGTTTGGAAAAAAATGAGAACTCCCGATGTGCATGTCATTTCTCTGTGACACACGACTTGAGGAGTGGATGTTAGGTTATGGATGGCAGAGCGCGAGACATAGAGATATACCCTGGTGATCTTCATATATATTGGCGGACACTGACATACGAGCATCCACCCAATTCCCATGAGTACGTGCCCCATGAGGATGAGGCTAAATGTCACCTTCGGGAGTTGGTTGATGGGGTTGTACGCAAAGGACTAGAGGCAACGAAAAAAGCAGCAAAGAACGTGTTTCGCGGACTCCACTCAGCGGAAGACAACATTCACGAGCCAGAAGTGAACGAATTTAGAAGGGGACGACCAAACAAAAAATCAACTTGAAAAACTAAAGGGTGGTTTGAAAAGATATTGCGTGGTAAGAAGAAAAAAAATGAAAATGAAGTCGGGAAGCACAACGTCGGGGTCTACAAAGTCGACCAGTACCAAGTCCACGGGGACTCAGACAGACGAGTACCCGTCAGACGACCATGCATTTGATGAATGTGATGATCTCGAAGAAAACAACAAATGCAACGGTCCTGATACAGGTACACATAAGAATTTCATAAGTGTAGTTATTTATATGAATAGTTTATGTAGAATTTGTGCTGATTATCTATTTCCTTCACAGATGTCTCTAGATCCAGCACCCATTCTGAATACACACACATGCATCTGCTTCCTGTCTTCGTTCGGGATCTTATCATTTCCATCCATGACCCGGTGCCAGACGGTCATTGTGGGTTTCGTGCACTTAGTTTTGCATTATATGGTAATCAAGATGGGTTCCCAGAGGCGAGGCGACTCATTGTTGAAGAAATCCGTGAGCACGATTGGTGATACGCTAACATGTACGGGTCAGATGTGAATGCGGCAATCAAACGCATTGACATCGCTACTACAGCACCAACGGCAAATTGTCATTGGATGATGGGTGTGGATCTATTTGTATTTGCCACGCTCTTTAATTTGGATGTTGTCATGTACAACAATATCCTCTACCCAATACCAACTAAGTACAACTGTAGCATCCTGCCAGTGGACAACCTATCTGGGGCAACCAGTCCTAGAGGAGTCATTGTTGTGCATTTCGTCCAAGATCATTGACTCAACCTCTCTTTCCAGGCGGACAGGATACCGATGCCCCCTGTACATGGCATGTGGGAGGGTGGTAGACAAGATAGCGTGCTTGGATAGGATACATATTTCGTGCAGTTTAGTCAAGTGTGGAAAGATCTTGGGGGTGGGCAGTCAAGCGGTCCATGGCGCAAAACAAAGAGGGTTCCAAAGAAATAAATTTGTAATCAAGAGGGAGCCCGATGTACTCGTCTTCAATTTAAATAAATTGTAATGAAGGTTGTTTACGTCACATGGAAACATGATATAATAAAAACATCCCAAGTAAAACATAAATACATAAGGCATAATCAGATACAACAGAATAACATAAGTCATAGTCTAAAAACAATAAATAAGCAACTGAACACCACATAACATAAGTCGTAGTAGAAGAGAATAACATAAGTCCACTCATCTAAAAACAACAAATAACACTCATAAATATGACATAACAATCATACAACTATTGTGGAGGTGGTAGAAAACCCAACTTCCTCCTAAACTCGGGCCACATGTTCCCAACTCCATGACATAAGTCATAGTACTCGTCGGACCTAGCATGCCACTCCTCCCTACTACCCTGTGCACCATCCATCATGGGAGCTATCTCCATCCACATCTCGCGTCCCAACTGTAAACAAAAACCAGAGAATTTAAATACATATTAGTTGCAATCAAACAGAATTTTACTTAATACAAATAATTTCAAATATGATTGTACCAACCGTATCAGCATCCGCAAACTTGCGACGAGGTCGGCTGTCACTCAGTATCTATGGGTGCGAGTGCCTAATGTACCACCCCATGTAATCATCAGCAAACTCCCATGGACTTCGTCGTACCGGAGTAGAATAAAGGTCCAGATGCACACTATGTGCCCCCAGGTTGTTCCACCATGAATCATAGACAGACTGGTAGCTATGAGAGTATCCAAGCGTGGAAGCAGGTCGATGCACAACAAGCGGACGCTCCGGGGGATACGATACACTATGCACGTAGCCGAACTGTCGCAGGCGCCTAGTGGGATCATATGGCTCTACTATCTCTGCAAATCTGATCATGCCCTAATACAAGGTACGTCTCATGCTCATATGAGGAAGCTGACCATACGGAGTCCAAATAACCTGTTGTGGGGTCAAACTGTCAATCGCCTGCCGATAATAAGCCAACATGAGTGTATCCTTCTTCTTCGTCGACTGAGGTGAGATACCACGACACCTGAGTGCTCCTGCCTGCCCCTACTCCAGCTGTCGTGGCTCCAACCGACTAGGCCTAAAGGTAGGAAAGTGGTTGTAAATCCAACACTGTAGTAAAGTCAGACAACCCGTCACTCCCTTAGCCTCCGCCCGGGAGGCAATACCAAGCTGCCTGTACAGATAAGCAAGTGCTCCAGCCCCCCACGCGTACTCTCCTAGCATATCCGGCCTCTTCACAAACAAGTTGATAACAGAAGAAACGCATTCCTTACTCTTATCTAAGAACAGTGTGGACCCAAGCAGCAAAAGAAGGTAACACTAAGCCTCTCTAGCTGGCAGACCAGACTCCTGCAAATGAGCCAAAACTGCCACACCCAACAAACCAAACCCTCTGTACCACTTAAACTCTCTGGCGACCTCTCCAACCTGCGTCCCGTGGTCCAAATCATCATGATCTAAGCCCAGTAGTGCTCACATGTCATCCTCCAGTGACCTCTTCTCCAACTGCCTCGGGTCCGCTACCATCGCCTCTCCCTCAAGCGCAATGCCAAGAATGTGAGCCACGTCGTGAAGGAGGATCGTCATCTCTCCAAACGGCATGTGGAAGGTGTTGGTATCCGGTTGCCACCTCTCCACAGTTGTCGAGATGAGAGCAGTGTCCAGCTCGCTCTGGAAGGTGATATCAATAAGGTGAGCAAGGCCCGATGTCTCTACGGTAGTCCTAGCGTGAGAATCTGGGACCTCATAACCGTCTAGAACGTGTTGAAGCGTCGAACTCCTGTCGTAGCAAGTGATCACCCCTCTATCAGCCTGTCCGGTGTAAAGGCTGTGGCAACATGCCCAAGAAAGCTACGGAGCAAACTCGGGTCGCTCGGCCCTCCAGCACACGGTCCTCTAAGCTCCCAGGCCTCTCCCACAACAACATTAACACTCTGGCCCTCACCAGGCTGTGGAGCTCTGTAGAAGTGCCCCACATGGTCTCTATAAATCCTATTAACAGCATGTGACGATCCGCTGGCGGCACCTTTATCTTTGATCGGACTGACTCGTGGAATGCAATCCTCAACTGCATCCGACTCATACTACTCAGACTCGTCATCAATCTCGTCTGAAGGCTCAAACGGTGAAGTATGATGATCCCTCGCCCCAAAGTTGTGACTAGAACCAGGTCCACTACCAACCATACTAGGCAACTGAAAATCAAACTGAGGAAAACCGTCTGCCCTCAAACTCATCGGTGTCACTAGCTGATGTGGTTGCGGCTGTGGCTCATGCTCTGAATCTGACTCTGACTCTGTCTCATCTCCATCCTTTGGGTTCTTATTTCTCGTAGTCATACTAATGTTACGCCCAAGGAATCTTCTCAATTTCTTTCGCGATCCTCCAGAATCACCAGCTGACGCAATCTCTAAACATAGTCAATAATTTTCTATTAATATCTTATAATAAATTATTTGTTGAGCAATTTGTTCATAGTTAATTTTAATCATACAATAATTATGATACATAAAATTTGTTATCTAATTAATTTAACTAGATAGTTATTTTACTTAATACAATAGGTAGTTATTTAAATAATTATTTCAACTTACTCAATTACTTAACTAAAACATGATAGATAATTATTTAAACTAACAATTATCTATAATTTATTTAATTCAATAACTATTTAGATAATTATTATAATAAATTATTTATTAACATAGTCAATAATTATCTATTAATCTCTTATAAAAAAATTATTTGTTGAGCAATTTGTTCATAGTCATAATTTATCAATGACTAATTATGATACATACAACTTGTTATCTAATTAATTTAACTAGATAGTTACTTTACTAAATACGATAGATAGTTATTTAAATAATTATTTCAACTCACCCAATTAATAAACTAACACATTATATACTTAACAATTATATACTTATTATACAATCAACAATTATATACTAATTATTCAACTGACAATTATATACTGATTATTCAACCAACAATTATATACTAATTATTCAACTATCAATATTAAACTAATTAAGATACTAACAATTGAAATTAAAATAAATCTAATAAATATTTAATTAAACCGAATCAGTCAAACCCGAAACCTAGGTTTTCGTTTGGTGTAGCCAGCCCGTCGCCGAAATCCCACAGATCGTGACCAACTTCCGCTCCAAATCCAGCCACGGCGTCTCCCTCGCTTTCCTCCTCACTTGGGTCGTCGAGGACATTTTCAATCTGTTGGGTTGCCTTCTGGAGCCTGCAACGTTGCCATCTCCGACCGACCGTCCACGCCAGCTGGATTTACAGAGCTCATCGATCTCTTGCCCTTTCCTTTTTCTCGATTCATCTCGACTGGAAACTGTAAGTCATCCCCTCTCTCCTCCCTATTTCTTACATTGTTTCTTCCCTTCAGATCTGCATAGAATGGACGACGCCTCTTCCTCTCCCTCGGCTTGTGCTCTCCTGTCGCTGCAATCCCGACTTCTTTCTCCAAACTACAGCAATAACAACAGCAGCAAGGGGCATCTACATGAAGAGTCCACGACGGGAGAGACACCGAAGTGCTGATTCAGAAGCGTGCCGTTGTTGAGATCCGCCAGATTAGGAACCGAAGAAACAGGGACGGTTACAATAACGGGAGTGGTTTGATTATGTCTCTTTTATTAAATGATAATGATTTTTCAATCTCCTTTTCTCTAATACTTAAGCATAAACTAGTTGTAATATAATGTATAGGTGTCCCTGTGTTGATGCGACACTCCCTATCTTTGTAAATTACCCGTAACTTTGGTAGTATAGATCGTGTTTATGGAACCCATGCCTCTTTGTGAGGTTATTTGTTGGTGTTTATCTAATTCTTTTTCTTACGTTATGTTTTTTTGATGTTGTACAGGTGATCTCTCTGATGGTCCATGCGAAGGATTCGGCTCACGTTTTGGGAGGTGCCATCCTGTAGAAGTTCAGGTGTACACGTTCATCTCTCCAGCGTGTTTCATTTTATTTCGCACCGTATAGGTACACAAGGGTTGCCTATATCGTGGCAATCAAGTCCTCTCATCGTTGGTTCAACACCTTGTTGACCAGCGCAATTTACTTTGTTATTAGTTTGGCCTGCAAAGGTCTTGTATATTTTCGTATCTTGCTATTCCTTTCGGAATATCTATGGCAAAAAAAAAAAAACAGTCAAACCCATCGGTCCGACCAGGCCCAGTAGACGTGGTCCGACCAGGCCTAGTAGACGCGGTCCGACCAAGCGAGGCGGACAGTGTCCGCTCAGGCGAGGCGGACGGCGTCTGCTCGGGCAAGGCGGACGGCGGCTTAGGGACGAAGAAAAAAATTCCTGGAGACAGCGGCGACGACTGGAACAGCGGCGAGAGCGAGCTTGGGAAGTCGGCAGCGGCGACAGCGAGCTTGGGACGGCTGCTTCTGGGTCTGGAACAGCGGCGGTCGGTGGCAGGTGGGCGGCGGTGGTCAGGGAAGTTGGCAGGAGGGAGGGGTTGGCGGTCAGCAGGAGGTGAGGGGTTGGGAGGTGAGGATTAGGTTGGGGTAGATAAGTTTAGGATTTTAAATTAGACCTGTGGCAAAATCGTCTTATTTTTTGTAACTATGAGCGGCAAATAGCTATTCATTTATTTATTGGTCCGGTATTAGTCCTCCTCATACCTTATACTACGACGATACGATCCCTAAAATTTGTAAACAATACAATGAAGTCCTGATTTTTTCCTTAAGACAGGTGTCGTTACGGTGCCAAATACATTGGCTATTTGGAGGGAGGCAAGAGCATTTTGTTTGGATATTTTTCACATGGCAACTTGTTGCTAAAATTCTCTTTTATTTGATGCTTTCCTTATGAGTTAATTTTTTTATTTTTTCTCTATAAGCTTGCTTTGCTATTATGAGTTGGATACGCATGTTATGTGTTGTAGCCTTGTAGGTTAATTATCATTACATCCTTTTTCATCATTTCTTTGACATTGTGGAAGCTTGAAGTCCTAAAATTGAGTTGTTATTTTATAGCACTCGTCGATCATTGAAATATGCACGAGGCATTTAGGGACAATTGTCTCGACGTGAGACAATTGAGTCCAAAAGGTCTTGTTTGACTTGAGATTTTTTCTTCCTAAGCAAGAAGTTTGGCCATTGAAAAATTTGAATGCCCATTTATGGCATTTGGACAAGACAGAAAATTGACTTTTGGAAATGCTTACTATTTGGTCAATTGTCTCATTTTTTTTTCAAATAATCCAACAAAACGATATAATATTCTTTTTTTTTACGAATTTAATATTCTTTCTTGATTTACCAAATCGTTACGATTAAGAAGACTTTCATTCAACGTACTCTACTTCTACTTATCTTTAATTTATCAGTATGATCACCTCATTCAAAGAGGGATCTTAGGTGACTGCCTGACTGGTATGAGAATTGACTCCAAGCAAATATTATAACAATTGATTCCTACATTTCATTATGGTCAACTGTTGTGACTGCATTAGGAACTAAATAGTAAATTCAGTACTCAAACGTAATTAACCAAGAACCCACACCGCTACGAGCCGAACAATCTGTCGGACGTGATTCACATGAATTTGGCGTGGAATGAACCAAAAAAAAAAAAAAGGAAAGAAGAAGGCGGAAGAAATAGAATTTCTGGTTACGGTTGGAGCGTCAAAACATTGTCCGGAACAAGAGAATTTCGTTGTGTTTCAGAGTTCTCTCTCGCGCCCTCCATTTTGGTTTTTGACTCTTCATTTGGGAGTCGATCGATTTCGTGGGTCGGTCGATTTTTACTCCTTCGTCCCCCGATCTCTCATCTGCTCAAGGTCAGTCTACCGACTCTGAATCTCAGTTCTTCTCGATTCGATTTCAATCTTGCTGTTCATATTTGCTTCGATTTGATGTTGGGGAAAGGGAGGTTGCGAGTAAAACGTGCTTAGGAAGGAATTTATCGGATTGGGATTGCTTGTTTATTGATGATAAGTGTTTTAGTTCTGTGGATTGATTTGCGGGAATTTGGTATTCGAGAAACTCGATTAGTTCCCCGATCTAGATGCGTAAGGTTGCAATAATGGTGGTCTAATTGAGTGACCCGACGTATTTTTTTGTTGAATTTGTGAGAGATTTCATTTTCCCGACCATAAGTTGTTGACTTTATTTGATCTTCTCCTAATCTAGTTAAGTCTTGGAAAATTTAAGTTCAATTAATAATTTTTTTAGGGTGTTGTCTCTTTTTTGGATGTTGATTCTGGGTTACTTGATTCTGTCGAAGAAATGGGATCCACCTATGGAGGGCTTTCTGGGTTCATGAATAAGACGCCAGTTCTTGCTTATGGTGTTGATTTTGCTATTGTATATGTGTGTGTGACTTATAAGGAAGCTTGGATTTGGGGTTTTCTCCAGAAATGGCTAGTGGGTTAGGGGAATCAACCAGCAGGCCGCCCGAAAGCCCTTCCTTTCCTAGCAGCAGCAACAGCAATGGCGATGCAGGCAACTTCGAATGCAATATCTGCTTCGATTTAGCCCAGGACCCTATTGTAACTCTGTGTGGTCACCTCTTCTGTTGGCCATGTCTCTACAAGTGGCTCCATTTCCACTCTCAGTCTCGAGAGTGTCCTGTTTGCAAGGCGTTAGTTGAGGAGGAGAAGCTGGTTCCTTTGTATGGTAGGGGGAAGACATCTACTGACCCGAGATCAAAGTCCATGCCTGGTGTTAATATCCCGAACCGTCCATCTGGGCAGAGGCCCGAGACGGCTCCTCCACCAGAACCAAATCATTTTGCTCAGAATGGGTTTGGGTTCATGGGAGGTTTTGCACCTGTGGCGACTGCTAGGTTTGGGAGTTTTACGCTTTCTGCTGCTTTTGCTGGCCTCATCCCTTCACTCTTCAACCTACCTGTTCATGGGTTTCCACATGCTGCTATGTATGGTGCTGCTAGTGGTTTTCCTTATGGGTTCACTAATTCGTTCCACGGTGGTCATGCGCATACGTATCCACCAGATCATGGACAAGGCCAACAAGATGTCTATCTCAAAAGGCTTCTTTTCTTAGTTGGTTTCTGTGTTCTCTTTGCTCTGCTCTGGAATTAGAAATAAATTTGTGTCCATGATAGCTTAATTGCTAACAGATGCTGCTAGGTTGTCAACTAGTTTGTCCACGTAACTTTTCTAGTCTGTTATCTGATTCAGAAAATCCCCACCTTCACTCTGGTGCCAAGGCAAAAATGTCCATAACTGCGGTGTTCACTACTCTTGTAGCTTCTTTCCTTTTTCTCTTGCACCGAGTATGCTGAGTGCAGATTCACTGTTATTTCTTCAGCTTCCCTTATGTTGTACGATCTTTGGATGCATCATGTTGGTGGAGCCAGATGTTTGTGGCTTTTGTAAATTCATTTTTCATTTTCGTGACATCCTTATTACTTAGGACCTCGCTTGTGAGGTCTCTACTGATTTCTTTGCTTCTATGATGTGAATTTCAATCTGGTATATCTTCAAGATAACTTGCACTATAGCTTACGATCGTTCTATACTTTATAGACTATCTTTTGGGACTAGTAGGCTTTGATCTTTTCCTTGCTTCATGGTTTTTGTTGTCATTGCATATTCACATTCCTATCTTTGGATGATCCACGATAGCGTCTTCTCATAATTAGGACTTCCGGAGCATTTCATTAATCTGCTGCATATTGACATTTAGTTTTCAGTTTTTCAACTTATCATGGATGTACTAGTACAGGAGGTTTGTGTCCCTTTTGAGGAAGGATGAGCGTTATTGTCTCCTACACAGACCAAGAGAATGTCTTTGACGAGTTATTTCCAGCCTTCAGACTCCCAAAAATATCTTCCCGGGACAGAGGTTGGGCTGTGAATGGAAGTGTTAGCAGGATTTGCGCTGATGAGGAGTTGCTGAGATCAGGTTAGTAGTCATCTTTTACTGCCTTTTGTAACTGTTTAGGGACAAACCACACATGAATAAGTGGAACAGATTTGTCCTGTTGTAGGGTCCCAAAAAGATAGTGCTAGTTCCTTATCATTGCAGTACCATATGCCTGAATTGTCTGGTAGCTATTGAATCTTTCAGTACTGGCGGGTGCCTTTCTTTTGCCTCGCTTTCTTCAAAAACTTCAGCAGCAGTAATGGAATGATTCCCAAGTCACCACTTGCTCCTAGGATGCCCTTCAAATTTAGGAAGAGTGGCCCCGTTTGTTCAGGATTTTTTTCCATCTTGGAGCACATGGGTTGTTACCTGGGTTCAGATTATTAGTATTTGTGTTCAGATTGGTACAGAGAACAGTCCCTACTTTGCTTTTACAGCTATTATTGGGGATCATTGATCCTAGATAAAGCTTCCATGTTGTAGTATGGAGGATTGCTGGCTTCCTCTTTTAAGTGCCTACCTGAGAGAAGCACTCCCACAGTCCCACTGTATTGCTTTTGGGTCTATTTTACAAGTCACAACTTGCCAACTTGAATCTCTTGATTTACCATTCTTCTAGCAACCTTTTTAGGTGAATCATATGCTTTGCTGCGAGGAGCTAAACAGGCATTTTGCTGGGAGTTGAGGAATGATACTGTTGTAGTAAGTTAGCACAGGGAGGTATCAGAGCAGATAGATTGGTTTACGTTCAACTGGGTTTAGACCAGCCATGAGTCAGATCGTGTTGTCTAGTTGAGTCGGGTATACAAGCCTGTTAACACAATGATCCGCGACTCTGAATTACGAGTCGGTTGAAATTGGGTTGCTCCGCCGAGGCTGCAGAAGGATTGCTAGGTTGTTAGTGTCGCAATGCTTTCCCTTTTAGTTGGATTCTGGGTTTGACTTTCATATTGCAATGCAAAATCAGCAAGCACTGAACTTTGATGGGAAAAGTTGAAAGTGCTTAAATTTTGCTGCTTTCCGAGAGTTGTAGACTATCTTGTGAGTGTTGTCGGATTTCTTTGCGGCCAAAAGATGATAAATAATGTTTACTACTAAAATTTATGGTTGGGAGAAAGTCGGCTGGAATTTATGAAATTCAATCCCGGCATGTTCAGGTTAAGACTATAATGTGGATCACCTGATGACTATTTCTAGCTAGTTACTGGTCTTGTCTTTGTGAATGAGGTTTGCGTGCGTCCTATCGATCGAGTGGTCATTCGCCCGTTGAAATGAGATCTAGATATCAATTTTTTACTCGAGGTATGTCATACCTCAAGTTTAGAGGAAATGGCCGAACAATTCAATTACAAAAAAATATAAAAAGAACATGCTATATTCCATATACAATCGGATTACCGATGAACAACCTATTCTGCTATTAAACGAGTAGCTCTGATAAAGCTCAAGAGAGCTAAATGACACGAAAAAGACCTAAAAAGTTATATAAACTTACATTCGGAAGAATTTCCGAGAAACCGACCAGCCAAACAAAGTAGTTGGATTGGATGTCAACCAACATAGCACTCGTAATCCATATGTCAGACTCTTTCGCCATCGATGAAAGTGCCCAAAACCACCCATGAAACTTGGGACTAGATAGTATGACAACACTCCTTGTGTTGTTATTACAACAACACTAGTCTCCAACCAATAGGAAGCTAGGTTTGTGATGACTTTTTATTAGATGAGTTGACCTAGTGTAAAATCAAAGCAGAGGTATAATTGTCATTATGAAAAATATGTTTAAATAATATTATAAAAAAAATAATAAATATTTTTTTTATTTTCGGCCCAAAATTTTGGTCGCCGGAATTCTGCCACCGGTTGTCGGAAAATGGTCGCCGGTCACCGGAATATGCTTTTTGTTGCCGGAATATGTTATTTTGTCATCGGAATATGCCATCGTCGCCGGAATATGCTCACCGCGGTCGGAATATGCTTACCGGCGTCGGAATCTAGTCATCGGGGCCGGAATATGCTTATCGGCGTCGGAATCTGCTGACTGACGGTCACCGGAGTTCGGTCAACGAACTTTGTTGACCGGTCAACGAACTTTGTTGACCGGTCAACGGTCTTCGTTGACCGGTCAACGATCAACGACCACCGGATGTATGGTCTACATTGTGAGATTTATGGTTTGGTTTCTCATATTTTCGTATGCCTTTTGTGGTTTGCTTTATCGTGTTTGTGGTTTGCATTGAGAAGTTTATGGTTTGCTTTATCGTGTTTGTGGTTTGCATTGAGAAGTTTCTGGTTTGCTTTCAAAAACTTTGTGGTTTGCATTATGAGGTTTCTGGTTTGTTTTAATATATTTGTGGTCTGCATTAGGACGTTTATGGTTTGCTTTTTTGTGGTTTGATTTACTGTGTTTGTGATTTGCATTAGGAGGTCTCTGGTGTGCTTTCGCAAATGTTGTGGTTTGCTTTGTGAGGTTTGTGGTTTGTTTTAGGAGATTTGTGGTATGCATTATGAGGTTTCTGGTTTGCATTAAGAAGTTTCTGGTGTGCTTTCGAAACTTTTGTGGTTTGCTTTGCGAGATTTCTGGTTTGTTTTAATATATTTGTGGTCTGCATTAGGACGTTTTTGGTTTGCTTTACCGTGTTTGTGGTTTGCATTAGGGGGTTTCTTGTGTGCTTTTCAAAATATTTATGGTTTGGTTTGTGGGGTTTCTGATATGTTTTAGCGAATTCGTGTTTTGCATTAGGAGGTTTCCGGTATGCTTTCGAAATAATTGTGGTATGCTTTGTAAGGTTTGTTATTCTATCCGATTTTTTTACTAGATGAATGGAATTAGTAACAATAATTAGTAATGTGTATACTTACCAGGTTCGTATACATAATAATTACATAGTTCTCTCTTAATTAATTATGTTTTCACACATAATTAATTCATGTCTCACATAGTTCTCTCTTAATTAATTATGTTTTCACACATAATTAATTCATGTCTCTCTAATTCATTTGCTTGTACAGAGGTGAGGACATGGACTGGATCAGGAAATTCACCACAACAGCACAAGCAGTAGCTTCCTGGAGCAGCAGGAATCACCATGGAAATGTTGTACGTCGGGAAGAGCAGCCCGAAGGAGAAAGTGAGGAAGAACAACGTCGATGGAGATGTGCGGCCAGCAGTGAGATTTTACCATCTTCCAGCGTTGCATCTCTCGAACCTCCTCTCCTTCGCTTCCACCATCTCCTCCAGTACGATCGAGGGTCGCATTTGACACGCTCTCTAGAGTCAAACTCCGGTCCTTCAAAACCTACAGCAATGCTCCGACATTCACAGGCACCGCATCGACTCCATCAACCGAAATCGACTTCTCTAAGACCTGGATTTGGAGCTTCAGCAACTGAATTTCGCTCAACAGGGACTCCTCGTCAATGCAACTGCGAATTGGAGCTCGGAAAAACCTTCGCCCTCCCTGAACCGGGTGTCACTTTCGAGACCCACGGCGGATTCGAAGCTCTCCTCGGTTTCGGGTTCAATTCGTGGACCAATGATTACAAGGTCGTGAGAGTCGTGCGGCTTCTAGAGTACGAAGAAATCGCAATTGAAGTCGAGGTTTTTTCACTGAACGCCGGCTCGTGGAAGACGATTACCTCCACGGCTCCGCAGTACAACATCGTGGAGCGCGGGTCCCAAGCCTTTGGTCAACGAGTCGGTCCACTAGGTCGCGACCCGGCCCGACAACGACGACGGTGGTGACAAGAACTTGATTCTGGGTCTCGACCTAAAGGGGGAAGAGCGGTTCAGGGAGCTGGAGCTGCCGGAGAGCTTGAAATTGGAGAGGTCAGAGCAGCCTAAGCAGATCTGTAGTTGTTTCCGGCAACAGAGCGGAAGAAGGATATCGCCGGCGTCTGCTTGAATCGGAAGGAGAGGGATGGAAGGAGATGCGACTGCGGAGAAGATAGATCTATAGAAGGGAAGATCGGATAGATAGGTGATAGGAATTTTCTATTTATTTTAATTTTGAATTTTTTTGGTTAGTTTACCCTTTTACCCTTAATGAATTATGTTGTTACTATAACAACATTAAGAGTGTTGTTATTCTATCCGCACCCATGAAACTTCCTATGCTTCTCTTTTTTGAGGTTTTTGTCGGGGAGACAGTCTGTGACTGCGAGTATATATATATATATATGCTCAACCTAAACTAGATACAAAAAAATCGGTTTATATATTGTCAGCTTAATTATAGAAGAATGGGAACAAATCTAAATGAGTTGTATGTAATAGTGTTGCATGTTCTTCCCAACACAGCACAATCATCTAATGAATGATCAACTGCTGCGGATCCATATGCACAAATATGATTGAGCAATTTCATATAATACATTAGCATCCATATGCAAATGACAATCATAGAAGAAAGAAGATTGTGAATATTTTTTGAGCGTTTTGATATTTTAGCAAGAGAAATATTTTTTTACTGATCTCAATTAATCAATATTAACACTAATAACTCTATTATCTGTTTTTTTCTATTAGTGAAAATTGATGATATTATTTGATAGGATATAAATGCGAGTTAATTCAGTAGATTCTTCGCTAGCGACGAAGGTTGATAAATCGTTAAATTGTTACCGTCTTCACCACTAACTTGAAATTGTCAATTGAGCTGAATTGAAAAGATTTCTATCTAGGCTATGGGCATTGTCCAATCTCGTTTAATTTAACGTGCCGGATAGGAGTGCCCCTTAACACCCATTTTTCTACCAAAAAAAAGAAGAGATTTCTACCTAGTTTTCGCCTAATCGAAGTTTCCCAAATGAATGACTTTTGTCTCTTCCTTTTCAGTTGTCAGGTGCCATAAAATGTGCAAAGACAAATGGCAATGTGGGTTCCAATAATGTTTATGAAGCCATGGAAAGGTCGGCTGGCTCTGACCTGACTAGCTCTCACTTACTGACAAATTACGACTCAATTAGTTCTGAATCACGACGCTAGCTGTTTAATCATTTCTTCTTTTTCCACCTTTATAATGCATTATTGGAGGTTATTCAACCGGTTCTATAAATTTCTAACAAATTTATGAGAGCCGGGTGATTTTATTTGAACCGGCTATTTCATCAATCATGATCAAGAAAATTTTCCCAAAATGGTAAACCATGACAATAGAATTGTAGAGTACACAATACTTACTCGCATGTAAACCGCAAATAATCTATACATTTGATAATCGAGAGGTTTAGTGTCAAAATCTTGATGACCCCGAACATGTCATTTGGATCTGTGCAAACTTTCATAACTATATGAATTGACTTCTGTTTGAAAGAGTTCGTTAATAAAATGAATAATGGATGTATAATTAAACTTCTATCATGAACTCGAATTATCATAATTAACTAGATCTTTACACATTTAAATTTGGATATTAATTATATATGTGTATATAATATCAAACTACCAACATTTGACCCTACTCCACATGGAGGTGGACTTTGGAGCAACATAATACCATCTAGAGGTGGCAATTGGATCGGATTCGTGGATTGGATTGGTGGATCCATGGATCAAATGGATTGGATCCAATGGATTGGTGGATTGATCCATGAATCCAAATGACATCCAAGGCTTGGACCAAAATGTAAAATTTGAAAAGTTTAGGTACTAAAATGTCATAATGAAAATTTTTAGGTGCCAAAATGTAATTTTCCAATGATTTTTTCGTATAAAAATATAAATTTTAGATACCCAAATGTAAAATATAAAAAATATAGGTACCAAATCGTAATTGCTACATTCATGTGTGGTTTGTATCCTAATTGCCACCTCTAATACCATCCCATTCTTTTCCCACTAACCCTTCCTTCCCACATTCAATTCTTCCATCTTTGTAAAAATATTATAATTCTTCTCCTCTCCTCTCCTCTCCTCTCCCACATTTTGAATGTATTGTGTTCTACTGTTCTTGGCAGTCCTTTTTGTCGTCTTCTTGAATTTGTTTTGAAATAGATTCATTGATCGCATGTGTCCTTCTCCTTCTTCCTCCTTTCCCTTCTTGGCTTGGAGTTACCCATACCAACTCTTAAAGTTGCAACCTAGCTACATTATCCTGTGAAACTAAATGCATGGACATATAGTTGGATATACCACCCAACTACCTAGGTGATTATAACGTTGTACAAGGAAAGGTTGCACATTCTATATTCTCGTTTCTTCATTGTGGGTTCACCAAGGATTGAAAATTCATACCGTATTTGCCGTCCGACCGAGAAAAATTCCTATCGAAAGTTAAATCGGTAGGCGATTTTTAGCAGTATCAGGTATGAAGCGATTGAATCATGATTAAACCACGATTTCAGACATAAAATATCTTACAACTGACTTTCCAATACGACCTCCGATACAATTTTACAATCCTTGGAGTTTGCAATAATTTGGTTGTAGTATTAGCGAATCTTGATTCAAATTAAATCATTCCAATTATTGAACTCACCTTATTCAGTCATTATAGGGTTCCAACACAACACCTTTTGGTTAGAGGCTTTGATCTCATATCCAACTTCATCACAGTAATTCTGAGTTCTTGGAGGACTCAATGTTTAAATCTTAATGCATGTGAGTCCCCAAATTAAACGAAAGGTGCAAAAAATGGTGTATATATCTACACATTCATATTCTGATGGATACTTCTTTATTGAAAAGTTCACTGAAAATTTATCGTGTTGATTAGAAACACAAAGTTTAACATCAACACCTTAAACCAACGCATTTACAAACCATTACACCACAACTTATTGTCAGAAAACATCGACATATCAGAAATCAATCCGAGCATTTCAATCCACTCTTACTTGCATCTTGCCTCTGAACTGTTGGAGATGGTGTGCCAAGCATATGTTGGAGTGATGGAGGCAATGATCGTTCAGGAATCCAAATTATGGAGCAAAGTCTCTGGACAATAACATGGCCATTCCAAAGAGTTATGGCTCAAATGTTGAATACTTGAGCGATGTGGGTCTTCATGCTTAATTCATATTCATGCTTAATTAATTATTAGAGAATGACATAATATTAAATCTGAGGTTTTTTACCGACATGGGTAACTAGCTCGCTACAACATAATCATTAAACTTGATTATGAGTTGATCGGTTAGTGTCCAACACGAAATGGAAATCAACAACTAGTGGTTACAATCAATGAGAGGTTTAGGGGTCGAATCCTTGCTGCAGAAGTATTAGAGATTAGGTGCCAAAATCAGACTGAAATAAGAGTCACGTTTTAGGTTGTGGTCAATATTGTGTAGTTTAGGTTTATTTCGATTTAGTCTGCTAAAAATGTGTTTTTGTGTCAGCTGACTCCATATGTGAGTTAGTAGAGTTGAGAATTTGCAACTGAGTTGGTTAGTCATGATTGTCTGTTTTCGAGATTATGGGGTTAGTAGACGTAAGGAGAAGTCGAGATTGTTAAAATGTTGATATGTTACTTATTTTTCCTTTTTAGTTTTTACCATTCAACAAAATTTTTGTCAGATTGCCTTCGTTGAGCTTTTACATCGAAGACAAAATGAGTCGGAGAAGACTTTAACAAAATTCATGCAATTAATTAGAACAAGAGATAAATGACCGCGGCTTATATATAGTACATATACTAAATTTAGTATCTATAGCTATTATATTTGATACTAAATATTTTGTTTTGAAAATTATCATTGTAAAATTATATTTTGGTACCTACAAAATTCTATTATTACATATTAGTACCTAAAATTTTCATATTAGTCAAAGTTTAAATGCCACTTTGACCATGATCCAATCCATTTGATCCAACTCATTTTATTTAAATCTATGAACCAATCCAATTCATTTGCTACTTCCAGCGACTTCCTTGCATAATTTATGATATGTGTGCATCTTAATTTGATTGGAGTGTAAGCAAGGATCGAATTCCCGATTACCAGATTATGTGCAAATGGAATGTCTTAATTAGTTCATTTATTAATATTTCGTGAGTTAACCTGTCAAATATCACCATACCATTTTCAATAGTGGGCTGTGGCTGAGAACAATATTGTGTTAAATGAAGGGCTACCATTTCCTCTTTTTTAATATTACTATTTGGTGTCACATTAATATCGTTCTCCAGTGAGTTTAGAGTTAATTAAACTATATACTAGACTAGACTTGGAAGCAAATGTGAAGTGTTATCGTGTCCAAGTAGAAGTCAATTGTTAGGTCAATCAGGTGTCTTCATTTATCATTCGAACAAGTTGGTCCCAATAACTCGTATTGTTGGAAAGTGTTTCAATTATTGATCTTATAACATCTACTAACTCGCCTCCCTCAAACGAAAGACAACTCACAAGGGTTTGAAGTTTGCACAGGTCTGGATATGATGTGTTTAACAAGCGGGAGCTGTTCGAATTGAAACATAATGAGACCTTCGATTATCAAAGGCTCTCACAGAGTAGTCAAAATCCCGATTTAAATCCTAAAATCCTACGCTTTTACGCTTTTACTTACCTATTTCGATTATGATTTCACTATAAAATCTATTGATCTTAAAATCCTACACTATTCACGATTTAAATCTTTGAGTCAATTTTACTTATTTTCCTCATAATTTGCAAAATTACGCATTTTCTTCTTCTTCTCCACCAACATCATCTAGTTCTCTCACACTAACCACCATCGACTATAATCAATTCACATCAACGTATTAATCATCATCGATTCACCACCTCTTAACATTAACCTTGAAAAATTATCATTGTAAGTGTTATGTGCTTTTGTGTTATTCGTGATTTTTCTTAGTAATATTATTCTGTCTTCATTTTTATATGGACCTTAAAATCCTACGATTTTACGATTGATTTTATGATTTCGATTTTACCCCCGTATTTTATTTTACGTAAAATCCCGATTTTGACTGCTTTGGGCTCTCATACCATGTTAAGAACCAATTGGTTCCAATAACTTGAGTTGCTGGGAGACGTTCAATTATGAATCTTATACAATCTCCTAACACCGTTAAACTTCATGAACTTGTGAGTTATTATAATTTACTACGTATAACAAATACGTAACTCCAGCTCATTCGGTATGCAATAAATAGGACACACTAAATCATAATGAAAATTCTCTCATTGCTCGTTTGATCATCAAATAGGATTGTTGATTGTCATCTTAGACGAATTTTCCATGATCTTTCTTGGTGGTTGACGAATTGAAAACCGGGGATTTAATGTAATAAATATTTTGATTTCTTGGATTGGAAGGAAGACTAGGGTATGAATCTATATACATTATTGCTTTGCTTGGTGTGGCATAGTTTTCTTTTCGGAAGGTGATGGCTCAACTTGTCTCGTCCCTAGTGTATGCATCAACATTCAACAACAACAACCCTGAGCACTTCTACTATGCTATATAGTATTGGTGCTTTAATGTACAATTTGAAGTTGTACCATAACATTAAATGTACAAGTTTAGGTTGTACCATAAAAGAATTTGTATCATTATGTTATGGTACAACTTTACAACTTGAAGTTGTACCATCACATAAGGTACAAGTTTAAGTTGTACCATAAAAGAATTTGTACAAAAAGTATAGGTACAATCTGAAGTTGTACCATAACATTAAAGGTACAATTTCAAGTTGTACCATAAAAGTAAAAACCTATAGCACCAACGCTATATAGTATTGTAAAATTCCTCGTTACTATTCCTATTGACTTGAATTGAACAATTAGAATGGAAACGGCCGAATTTCTCTTTCATTTTCTTTCATTTTCACCTTTTCTTGTTGTTCTTTTTCCTTTGTGTTTAGTATCCATAATCATTTTCAAGCAAAAAAGGAAACATTATGGAGCCAACAAACGGAAACATTATGGTGCGAGCGAGGATGGCCATTTTTATATAACTTTAGAGTCCATACGAAGAATGAAGATGTTTTTTACATGTGTTTTTGTGTTACAACGAGGGTAAGGACGAGTATGAATCGATTCTTTTTTATACTTCATTCTTTGTTGATTTGTCTCGTTTTAGACCTATTTTGTCCAATTTTTATTTCAACCTATTTTGTTTTTAAGAGTTTTTTTTTTTAACTTACTCATGGTGGAGCTAGCTAGTATTCAAATTTGTTTCCTTCCTATGATCCTATCAATAGTTCATTTATAATTTTATATCATCCAAGCAAGATTTTATAAAGTTGATGAACAAGATTGTAATTAACCACAACTTAAAATCAAACCCTTCCCACCCAAGTAGAAAATGAAGAGTGGTTTTCTAATCGCCAAATGAGTTATCCCTATTTGCAATTCGATCAACAAATTGAAAACTGGAAAATCGAACACGACAATCGCCACTGCTTAATCTCGGCCAAAAACGTCACGAAACACCCCTAATTACTTATTGATAACGATCTTCACATCTCCTCCAAATGTGACCTCATGAAGTCCGCTTTCCCAACACCATCTCAGCAAAACCAGCATAGTTTCAACCTGTTCATAAACCAAATTAGATATCACAAAACTGCATAAGGATTAAACCCCATAAAGCAACAGGTCGGTAAGCTAGCTTCCAGCTGTTCCATGATTTGGAATCTGATTAAGAGAGAGAGCCGGGAGAAGAATGACAAAGCACAGTTCAATGTGGAAAGGGGAAGCCTTTGTATTGTATGTCAGTGGCTGCAACTGCAATTTTATTTTTGACAGTTCTCTGTTCATATTATTACTCAATTGATTGATTATTCATTCAGCACCACTGGAGCTGTCAGTCAATTCCGAAGTGGATAAAAAAGAAAGAACCTTTTTAATTAATTTGATTCATTAAATAACCTTCCCGCGCTTTCTGAGATTTTGTTCCTTGTGTGTGCGCTGTCAAGTTCCAGCTAAGTTAACCCACCAAAAAAGAAAATGTCAATTTTCCCAACTTTGTTTTAAATTAAAGATGAACACTCCATCAAACCTGTTATTTATCTACGATGCAGAAATTTATCATTAAAAATTTGTAATCAAATAATTGTAATGTGTGAGGATGTGAACGCACCATAACTAGACAGAGTTATTTGATTTACGATTGTCTAGTCGAGAATCAAATAGCTATGAAGGTGTAAGCAAGACTAGCATAGTCAAATTTGAAAATAACTAGTCTTGTATTTTTAGGATTTGGTGAAAGTGGGATGCTAGTATATTGAAGGGGGAAATGGGGATGTTAGCACAATTATTTGGTCAATTCCTGGTGAAGGCAACTATCCCTTTAGTAGCACCTCCTCCTTAACCAATACCAGGAACTTAAACTCCTACTGCGTTGACTTTCAAGTAAGGAAAGCCTAATTCAAAAGGGGTGGATATCTTCCCCGGGCGGCGGTTGAAGGCCTTGCACTGCTTGCAGGGGGTTAGAGTCGTTCCGGGGCTGTCTAGCAGACATCCTGACTCGCTTCCACGAGCCCACCTCTTTAAGCGTTTAGACCGCCTGCTATGGCTCAACAAGTCGAAGTTTAACCTACCTATGGCATCAATGAAAGTGGTGACCGTAGGTAAGGTTCTTCGATAAGAAAAAAATTAAAAATCTAACTCTACTGATAGGTCATTATATTTGTAATAAAATGATGGCGAGTTTGCACATATCGTGGAGACACCATAAATACTCAAATTTTCTCGCACTTTGTGACAATCACAATTGTCTGATCGTAGATAAGATAACTATGAAGGTATAAGCGCCGCTAAGCAAGATAGCCAAATCCAAAACGACCGAACATTGTATTTAGGATTTGGTAAAAATGGGAAGCTAGTCAAATGAAGGGAGGGTGGTGAACTTTCTTATTTGAGTAAAAAATAAATCTTCGCTTGATTGGTAGGTAATGGAAGTGAACATCCATTCTCTCCCTTTTCACCATCTTTTGTACTCCCACTCCATATTTATTTTTCCATTTTCACTCTCTTGATATGTGGTAGAGGTTAACTTATCCACTCCTTAATTAAAATTAACAGGCCGTTTGGTATCAAATCAACTGAGAATTTATTTTATTGTTATATGAAATCTTGTGTTTGGTATGCTATATCAAATCTTTAAAAATAAAATAAATTGGCGTGTAGAATTCATTGTCAAATGAATTCCTGTGTTTGGTATATCATATGTATAAATAATTTAGTTAATAAAAGATAATAATTATGCCATTCTATTATAATTAGTAAATACTTGTGGAATTCATTTGGAAATTCCATCTCAATTCCTCGGAATTGCTATAACTAGTTCCAATTTCATGAAATTCAAAATTTAGAATTGAAAATGAATTCTTATAAATACCAAACACAAAAATGTTTTATTTCAAAATGAATTTTTCAAAATTTATGGAATTCATTTATACCAAACGGTATGTAAGAAAATAGAAATGCATTTGGAAACTTAATTAACAATTGGGTATCAGCATCATCAACCCTAACTTAATTTTGTTAATAATTTAAAAACTCACAACAATGAAGAAGAAAAAAAACACAATTTTTAGTCGTTTGGGACCCATTTCTTAGGGCGACAAGCTTCCGGTCTACAATCAAATGTAAAAGGTGCAAACCAAGTTCCCTTTCATCCCAGCCTGCTAGCTAGCCACCACCCCCTCTTCTTTCCCCATTTGGCCTTTTTTGTTTCAATACTAAGACCAACAATCCGGTCCACTCCATATCGAATCTGATCAAACCAGTATCTATATGACTGAATCAAAATACACCAAACAATGTTCGGTTTAGTATTCCAATCGTCAAAATTGGTATATCTCCCATTCCATTCTAATTCGATTTCTAATTTCATAATTCTTCTATTTTGAAACATACCATATTACTATGCAATTAGATCCGGTCTTGATTTTAGGTTATAGAAATTTTTGTGTTGAAGTGTTGTCTCCCTGCCTTTTTCGGCTTTTCCCCATCCCTCCCTATGATGATTGGAACGTTACTCAATTTGGGTGATTTCCTTCCGGAGTAGCAACAATCGTAGCACTTTTATCTCGATCCATATGGTAATCGAGATTCGATCCAAAGTGGAGTATTTGGGATCATGGAGTGTTGATATTGGTCTTGTCATCATCTTCGGTTCTCATTGAGTGATTGGTATACTTGAGTCAATTTATTTGTAGTTGTTGCTGAAGTTACGGTATTATCATTTGTAAGGTAACCATTGCTATAAGGAACCATGGTGTTTAATGAATTTTGTTAACAATATTTTTTAAACAACCAAGTAAATAAAAACTTAGTTAACATTGAATTAGGCTAAATAGAAATGAACACTCTTTTCAACCGACCCGATTCTAATCCTCGCATCTATTTCCCTTTTTGATAGTTCTATTTCGATTTCATCTCGAATCTAATTCTCACCACCACGACATTTTCTATAAAATAGCATCAAATACCTCATTTCATTTTTTTCAAATCCAAATTATAAGCACCAAATGGCTTATTCAACACTCCTAAGTTCACATACTATTAACTATTAAGCCAGCCAGCCAGGAAGCAATCAAATCAAATTAAAAAAAAAAAAGGCCATATAAGCTCAAGATCCTAAGTTCCCCTCTCAAAAAAGAATTCCTTCCTTTTACTTTGCTTCTCTTCTCGTCTCCTTTCCCAATTGGAACACTTCCTCCTCTCCTTCTCACGAATCCTTCCCATGCCTGGATTCCCAATTCCTCACCTCCCCTTCTTCCTCATCCTCCTCTTCACCTCCAATGCCGCCGCCGGAGCTCCTCTCTCGCTCCCTTCCGCCCACCAATTCAAAGAAGCGCCCCAATTCTACAACTCCCCTGAATGCCCTGCCATCGAATGGGACGACGGCGGCGGCGCGACACTCTGCTCGAATCGAGCCGTCCACGTGGCGATGACCCTCGACACAGCCTACCTCCGCGGCTCCATGGCCGCGATCCTCTCCGTCCTCCAGCACTCCTCCTGCCCGCAGAACATCGCCTTCCACTTCGTCTCCTCACAATCCGCCGACGCGTCGTTCCTACGCGCCACCATCTCTTCATCCTTTCCTTACCTGAACTTCCGGGTCTACTCCTTCGACGACTCCACCGTCGCGGGGCTGATCTCCGCCTCCATCCGCTCCGCGCTCGACTGCCCCCTCAACTACGCCCGCAGCTACCTCGCCGACATCCTACCGCCCTGCGTCAGCCGGATTGTCTACCTCGACTCCGATCTCGTCCTCGTCGACGACATTGCCAGGCTGGCGCGCACCGACCTCGGGGGGAGCGCCGTGGTGGCGGCGCCGGAGTACTGCAGCGCCAATTTCACTGCCTATTTCACCCCTAGCTTTTGGTCAAACCCTTCTCTGTCCCTGACGTTTGCAGACAGGAGGGCGTGTTATTTTAATACAGGGGTTATGGTGATAGATCTGGGTCGGTGGAGGGAAGGGGATTATACGCGCAAAATCGAGGAGTGGATGGAGCTGCAGAAGCGGGTTAGGATCTACGAATTGGGTTCTCTGCCGCCGTTTCTGTTGGTGTTCGCCGGAGAGATTGTTCCGGTGAACCACCGGTGGAACCAGCACGGCCTGGGAGGGGACAATTTCAGGGGATTGTGCAGGGACTTGCATCCCGGGCCGGTGAGCTTGCTGCATTGGAGCGGGAAAGGGAAGCCGTGGGTTCGGCTCGACGCCAATCGGCCGTGCCCGCTCGACGCGCTCTGGGCTCCGTACGATCTGTTGCAGACGCCGTTCGCTCTGGATTCGTGACGGAGAGATTGGGTGGAAAAGATACCCATCAATGGCGGCTACAGATTGAACTGAATCCAAAGCGGGATTGACGGAGATGTAGGCCGGCGGGCTGGCGGCCAGAGATCTCGGGATGAAATTCCGGCGATTTGGAATTCAGAATCGTGTAGAGGAAGAAGGAAAGATGTAGATGGAAGGAAGAACGAAGGTTATACAGAGTTAATATTTATTTATTTTTACTGTTTGTCTATACACATGTCAACTCCTCTCTGTGAATTTTGATTTTGTGAAGTGGGGGAAAAATAAACTTTTTACTCTTTTTACTTCTTTTTTGACTGTTTTACCCATGTTAAGGATGACAGACTGTATAGCTAAAAGAGCATATTGTGGGTGTGTTTTACTGGATGAATTAGTTACTGGGTTTTAAGATGGTGATGGATTAAGTTAATTAGGTTGTTGCGATCTGATTATTGGCTGATTACTTGGTTAAGTATAATTATGGGGGGTTGTGATTGCTTAAGTAGAAATTGAATAATGATGATGGGTATCCTAGGCAAGCTAGGGTGGACTACTCTTTAGAACCAGGTAGGTTGGTTGGTTCATTATGTTCCAATTTAGGTGATGAATGAGAGGTTTGTTTGAGACGGCCAGGGAAGATGGGACAGGAAGGAAGAAGGTTTTGATTTTATTGGTGATTTGGACCCTCTTAACTATGATTAATTAGTGTTAAATGATTTCTTTTTCTTCTTGGTATGAACACAATTTGAAATTAAACATCGTATTTAAGAAAACGATACATGAGTATCGAAGTTATGAGGAAAACAAGATGTGCTCTATAACTATATGAAGGAAAAAGATGCCTTAGTGAATACAAGTGTTAGAATGAGCTTTGTTTCTCATTATTAATCATCAGTGGTTTAATTGTTTTGCTTTTTAATCATAGTCATGAAAATATAGCTGATTTTGTGGCAAACCATGTATCCCTTCGTGCGAACACTTGTGGCAAGGCAAGATATTAGTCGTTGTTACAATGAAGGGGAAAAAAATGGTTTATTCAACCCAAAAGTTGGTAATATAAGATAAAATTCACCACTAGCGGTTCGAACTTTAGATCCGCTAATAATCTAAAAACAACCAGGAGCTACCAATATCCCATTTTGTTAACGAGGATGGATGCTGAAAGACCTCTTCTTGTCTTTTTTGTTTCAAATACTAATGACAAGGTGAGGTAAGTTACGAACGCAAATCCAACTAACAAAAAAAAATCGTTACAAACATAGTTACATGAGATTCTTTCTTTGACGCACTTACGCTAAAGTATCACTTGTGACTCATGATTCACCAAATGAAACATAGTCTAGTGATATAGTGACAACATTGACATTCAATACAACGTTGTTGTTGTAGCACGATAGTTAACTATTTTCACCGAGGGAAAAAAACATATCAAAGCAATCTACATCAGTTTTACTGGAAGCAATTGTCTTGCTGATTAAATAACACATACACATTGATGTATGACATGGAGGATTAATGCACACACCACATGCATTATTACAACATTTGCTAAAGAATCATGTTTGCCCTTGAAAAGATGGTATTCGAAGAAAGCTCAGCAAGATTATCACAATTGACAATGTGGATCGTGAACGTGAACACGAGAGTCAAAGCCACCAAGGAGAATGAGAATGGCTGATCATACAAGCAAATTTGGTTTGCAAAAAAACGTCTTCCTTTCTTCATCAATCAGTTTTCTTCCGATAGATTCCAATAACCGGGCTACTTCTCTGATAAACAACACGTAAATTAGAAGGGGGAAAAAATCAGACAGCGACATCAGATTTTTGTCTCCACGATTTAGATAGATGGCAAAATCCAAGACGAAATGGCCAAATTTAAGCTATTCTATTGTATTGTATTGTATTGGGTTCATTAGTAGCATATTATATATATATATAATCTGTATTTGTATTTGCTGGTTCATTCTATTGGACAAATTATAGTCGTAGATGCAATGAGAATAAATTTCTTTTTGCGTTGAGGGATATGTAAGGAAGTGATTAAGTACTATACAAATACCTCTTCCAACAATTCGAGTTATTGGGACCAGTTTGTTTATGACATGATATCAGAGTTAGTTTGTCCTTGAGATCACATGTTCAAATCCTCACAAGCCCCAATATTTATCGTTGTCTTCAAACACATAGTATGGCAGACTTGTACAAACTTCAAAGTCAAACCCATGAATTAGCTTTTTTAGAAGATATGAAAACAGTGATTAAGTACCATAAATCCATAAATGAATCTCCCTGAACCGCTCGAGTTTTTAACATACTAATTGGTTTACGCAGAAAATTAACCCCCTACCAGAACTTTTCCAATAAGTCAAAAGCCATTCTGGGTAGCCTTTTCCATGGCTTCTATTCTATGTGGCCATGGGTCACTTTTCCCCAATGGAGTTCCCCATTATCAAAAAGTTTATTCGGAGCTTGAAAAACCGATTTGTCTACCCAACAACAGGCGAGGAACGTGGCTGAATTAACGACAGGCTGCGTGGTTTCGACCTCTATACTAACCGGCCGGACCAGTCCTACATTTTCAGTACTACCGACGGAAAAAAAAAAAAATCGTAGGTGTGGACCCTATTGTTTTTCCCTGCTCCTTAAAAACAACCAAATTGTCCCAAATCAAGTAGTGAACCAGACTAACGAAAGGCTCTATTATGCTCCCCAATTGCACAATGACAATCACAATAATTATCTTCACCTAGTAGGCATCTATGAAATTACTGTCAATGAATAGCAGGAGTATCAAATGAACGGATTGCGTTAACTGAATCACGACTTTTAGATAGGCCAGATAATCCAAATCGCTGAATCGAGTCGGAAAAAAAAAAAAGGTACAAGTACGAATTATGATGTTAGAGTGTGAAGTCGGTGTGGTTCAACCGCACTACACTGCACCACAAACACGATGCGACCTGCGGTGTCATTCCTGCACACCACTTACTTTCGTGGTGTGGTGCATTTCAAACACATCGACTGACCTCTCCTAAATAGGTGAGTGAGTTACATGTCAAAAGTGACGTGTATCTGATTTTCTAGTCAATTCATATTACGGGGCGATTGGGTTCGAGCACGCTAATCCAGCCTAGCCAGAACGCGATAGTTTTCGATATCGAAAGTATCAAGTTGGGTGGATTAAGGTTCGGTTCAGACAAGTAAGACAACATCTTAACAGATCTAATGGAAATTGAAAGAAAAAAGTTAGCCAGGAGTTGAGAGAGGAATTCACAATTGCTTTACGTTGCTTGATTCCAAGATGTAATTGCAAATTTGCAATACGTGCATTTGCTATCCTCTAGCAATTTACCAACACATTTACTTTATATTATCATCCTCAATCCAGCACCTAGCAACCAGCACTATATTATCATCTTGTATAACCCCCACTAACTTCTTTGTCCACTAGATGACGCTAATGTGATGGCAAAATGATGTTATGGAGGGGGAAGTTCAAACCATTATACTTTCAACCATGTTCATTGTTCGACAGTTAAAACTTCCTAGGATATGTGCTCCCGTCTCTAACAAAGTTGAAATCGTACCTTATGCAATGGACGGATTGTTAGGTTTGCAGGAACATGACTTGAAAGGGCAGTTACAGGGAGAAACTCGGTCATCCTTTTTAACCTTTCTCCATGTGGGGGGGTGAAGGAAGGCTGCCTGCAATTGCAAGGAAAACCTGAAGATAGTTTTCATTAGATGAGGGATGCCTTTCTGCCACCAACTACAGTTAGAAAAAGAGTAAATTATGAAGGGGGTTCTCCCCCAGATTGAGCTTTCAACTTCAGATGCGCCGTAGCTATCCGCAAGCAGTTTTCAGAGTTGATTGTCATTCTTTTCAAAATTAAGCAAACATGTTCAGTTGCCTGTGGCCCTTTCCGGCCATGATCACGAATTTTGCTAAGATGCTGATGGGCGTAGTGCTGATGCTGTTTGATCGTACGTCCTTCGATCCACAACCATTTGATGCGCGGCTGAGGATCCCAGGGTGCGCGACTCCAATGGAGTCAGCAAGTGCCGAGACCTAAGCCCATCAGCATGCTAACTGAGATGCATTATCATTCTTGCAATATGATATGTTTTATTTATTAGTAAGAATTACACAAGCCTTGTTTGGTCACTCTGACGTTTCCTTCAATCTAGCTGTCAATACTTGGAATGTATGCAAAGTATAATGGTTTGAAAGTGAAGAAGCTTGGGTTGAAAACTTGCCTCTTTCAGCTCTCTGTACTTTTTTAGGAGAGTGGTCTACTTGCCACCGCAGCTTCCCATGGCCAACCAGCCTTTGACACCCTGGAAAAGTAAACACCCCATTAGCCGCCGGCATCATTATAGGTTTCAAAATAGTTCTTGCTAGATACTTTCTTCTTCTAGATACATAAAGCGAGCCATACTAAAGTTAGCAATTTCACAATCAAAATACACTAGAGCTCAGTGAAAGTAACCATGTGTCATAATCCCACTCAGATAGTATTCTGCTTTTTTTCTAATCACTAGTCCACATCTGTAGAAGCTTTGGATGATCTAATGGCCCTGATGGGAAGAGACAAAACTACTGTTATCACTCTGTTTCTCATGTACATGTAGATCGTGAAATCTAACTATATTCACGGCAAACTGTTTTCATAAATGCTTGATTAATGCCCTAAATGACGCCTGATTATACCGCCCACCTGACGGCCATGTGCTTAGTTATGGTTCGTTTCTTTGAACAGTCATGTGCTTAGTATCTTGGGCACAACAAAAATACATGTGTCGGCAAACTAGGTAAGTCTTTATAAAAATAAAAAAATCTAAGGAAAATGACCAGTGCAGATAAAAGAAAGGGAGATTCCATCAAGATGATAAAAGCAAATCAAAGTTCGTACGTTACTAAGAACTCCTGCCTTAGCAAACAGCTAAAGTAGCCAAAGCAGTCGTTTAGCCTCTCACGAGCAAACAATAGAAAAGAGTTGAACGAAATCTAAAATCTCTGAAAATTTCATTAGCAACGAGCCTTATTGTGTTTCTTAGATTATTCTTCAATAGTTTCATTTCAACAGCTACTTCCTAATGCCAGCATTTATTGAAGTATTTACCTTGCTGCTGTGCCAAATGAGATCCACCATCTTAGTGTCCAAACATTACCACCTTGTAGCGTCTGTCACAAGACAAAGCACTACAGGCTAAAATTTTATGACCGCGACGCACCATGTTGGATCCTGCAGCATATAGGCCTATGAAGTGGACGGACACCCGAAGCTTGGCACAACTATGATTTTATTGTGATATGCTCCAGTTAGGTTCTACTGTTCTAGTCACACCGAGCAAGTACCTGTGATACCAAACAAATCAAGAGAAACAATGTATTACTAAGCAGTTGTTCTGATGATTAGTACATCACATTAATGTTCACGGACTGCTTTGACCTTTCTTTCAGCGCATAATAAATTTTGCTCAGCTAATTACCGAAATTAACATTTTAGCATTACTATTCACGTCTAGTATGACTGACTTCAAGTTCCGATCGAAGGAAGGAAAAGGGCAACCAGAGATCTTGAAGAAGGGCGCTCAAAATGAAAACACAGGAAGTCTAGTCCCTCGGCCCTTACAAGCATATTACTTTGGTGTAGTGTTTAATTCCTCGACATAGAGAGTGCTACACCAACAAATCAGAATTTGAATTCAACTCACCAGATTAACAAGGCTGGTACGACAGAACATGATTCTGTTCAACATCTAAGAGCATACCTTAAGAGTCGGTATGCCTTTCTGAGAATCCATGAACTGACTTGTCATAGTAGCAGATGCCACAGTAAAATATACCTGTGGCAGAATTTGATACGTTAGATTTCCATTACATGTCAATTCCACATCAAACGAAAGCACCTCACAAAGGCCTTCAACAAAGCAAAAATGACCAGGAGAGTAGTAGTTATGAGACCACCTTTTGCAAGGTGCATCTCACTTAATTCAGTATTTACCTGAACCAATTGTCAACTGCTGCAGTCATCGATTTCCAATTTACCTGATTTCAGTTGGTAAGCCCTTGTTGGAATCCGATTCTTGATGGAGAAACACTGGCCAGAGCTATAAATGTTCAGCAAGAAGAAACCAGCTGATCTCTTCATGTTCAGCACATGCCCCCTTACAGAAGAACCAGTTGATTTTCTCATGCCTCACCACAGCCCCCCTTACAGGCATAAAGTTCACAGGAGTACTTCAACAGGCTTCTATCGATCTGTAATTATGACAGTCTTTGAAGAGGGCAGTTTGATACAAAGTAAACCTGTCGAAATCAACCCTTTTCACAATTCATAAGACAAGCAAGCATCCATTAACATACAGCTTCAAGTCCATACAAAGAGTTTTCCTTCAGTGTGTATTCAGCAACGGAGATCCCCAATAACTTCATCTGCTTATAAGGACTAACACCAGCACAGGAATAGGCATGTGCTATGTCATTAATCCTAGAGATGTTCTTTATTTCTCTATGCTTAATGCAATCTTCAACTAATTTGTGGAATGGGGCTAGGTTGAGATCAGCAAATCTCTCAGTCATCTCATCCAATAGCTTCACAGAGTTTCCAATGTCTCCTTGCTTACAGAAACCATTAATCAGAGCAGAGTATGTAATGGTGGAAGGATAAATTCCTTCGTTTACCATTCTTTCTTTCAAATCCAAGGCAACATCAGTCTCCCCACATCTACAGTACCCATCTATCAAAATATTGTAAGATACAACATTTGGAGCCAGCCCTTTGGCCAGAAGTTTATCAAAAAGCCTTTGTGCTCGACTCATATTTCCGGATTTACATAAGCCATTCATCAAGGCATTGTATGTGGTTATGTTTGGTACTATACCATAGTTTACCATTTCATCACGCAATCTGAAGGCTTCATCCACATTACCAGCAGCAGAACAGCCATGAATCAGAGTGCAGTAAGTGAAGTTATCTGGAACGAAACCTCTATGCAACAAACTGGAGAAAAATCTTCTTGCGTCATCAATGTTAGCAGACTTACAAAGCCCAGCAATAGCAATATTGTATAGCACATTGTTGGGTAGAGAGAAACTCGTACCATTTTGATCAATGGTATCGGCGATCCTCTCACAATCTAAATGTCTAGAATCATTCTGTTGAGGCGTTTCAAATAATTTCAGGTCTAAAACACTGAAATCGAAAATCTTCTGCAACAGCATATTTGCTTCTTCTATCCTGCCAGCACTGTAGAGGCTGCTGATAATTTTGCCACAGATAATCAAATTTGGAACTAATTTCCTTGCTATCATCTCAAAATATGCACTGAAAGCTTTATCCAGCCTTCCTTCATCACACCAGCCAGATATTATCGCCCCATAGGTAATTATATTTGGTGCTAACTCCTGTTTATTCATTTCGCTGAGGAGATCCACAAGCTTATTCATTTTCCTGCACTTGAAAAGTGCTGCGATGAGAGAGTTATACATTTCAATTGAAGGAGAAATTGCATCCTTTTTCATCTTCTCTTTGACGTTGAGAGCTTCTTCAACATTTCCAGCTTTACAATACCCATCGCTCAGGGTTCTGAATGTTATGCCATCAGGCTTATAACTCAATTCCACCATTCTGGCAAAGATCTGCTCAGCTTCAACCATTTTGCCTACCTTGCATAACCCATTGATCATTATATTAAAAGCATATGCGCTTTTGGTAACCCCCCTAGCCAGGATATCATTCCACAGGGTTAAAGCCCTAAGAGAGTCTCCCATTTTGAAAAGCCCATCAAGCAAAGTACAATAGCTGATCTCGTTGGGATCCACGCGCCTCTTTAGCATCAAATGCCAAAATCGCAAAGCATCTTCAAGGTTACCCACACGGGATAGGCCTTTCAGAAGAGTGTTGTAAGTTACAACACTTGGTTCAATGCCATCCTGAATCATCTGTTCACAAACGCTGAAAGCTTTGCCGGTAAGGCCTTCTCTACAATATCCATCAGCAAGAGTGCAATAACTATAGGAATCCGGCTTTAGTTTCCAGTCTCTCATTTGTATTAACAATCTCTCTGCCTCACGAAACTGACCATTTTTGCAGTACCCATTTATAAATGAGTTGCAAACAAATAAATTCGTCTTCAACCCTACCTCCAACATTTCATCTCGAACCCGAGCAGCGTCTGCTAGTTTACCAATTTGACAATATCCATCAATCAACACACCATAAGCATACTCATCCAAGGGCACTCCCTCTTGTTTCATCTGTCCCAATACCTCTTCCGCTTCCTTGAATTTACATTTTCGACAATAACCCTTAATTAACAAAGTAAATGTAACCTCATTTCTTAAAACACCCTTCTCTTTCATGATCTCCAATAAGCCATTGGCTCCTTCCATATCCCCGGCACTAACATACCCATCAATCAAGCTATTGTACGCCACTACATTCACCTCAAAACCTGAATGCTCCATCGCTTTAACAAACTCCACGGCTCTGTCCAGCCTCCCCTGCTTGCAGTACGCATTCACCATAATCGAGCAAGTGAAGACATCCGGGACAATCTCCCGCCTCGTCATTTGATCATAGACAAGCACAGCAGAGTAACTCTGTCCTTTCCGAACAAGATTACTCAATAAGCTGTTACACGACCTCAAGCTCGGCACTCTACCGTACTTGAGCATATTATCAAACACCTGGAGTGCATTCTCCACCTTTCCTTTCTCTGCATACACCTTAAGTATCATATCGAACACAGTAGGCGAGAATCCGAACTCTCGATAGAACGCATATAGCTCATCCCACACGAGCCTAGAAGAATAATTATTATCGCACAACCCAACCAATTCTGTCAAATACGATCTTGTCTCGTCGTACATACGCGCACGCGACAGGATGTGAACCAGCTTGCAATAGGACTTGACGTCGGGTCTGAAATTAGGCTGCGTCGCGGCCGATTTGAAGAATCTCAAGCAGGCGCCGGCATTGAGCCTGAGCTTCAGGAGAACAGAGTCGAGGAGGTCGCCGGAGAAGTCGAATTTGAGGCCGTCGAGGGCGGCGCGGCGGTCGAGGACGAGGAGGCGGGAGATTCGGTCGACGAGTTCAGGGTGGGAGAGCTTGGATTCGTGGCGGGGCTTCCAGTGGATTGAGCGCCGGCGGCGGAGGCGAGAGAGGAAAAATGAAGGCGCGGTAGGAGGTGAACGGATGGTAGAGTACCTGAGCATTGAAGAATGATTGAGACTGCGACCGGAGCGAGACCATCCTATTGCCGGAGCTTATCGAATGTTACTGTTAGTAGCTGAGACGGCATCCTTCTCGAAGAGCTACCGGTAAAAAGCTCAGTTCAGTTCTGAGCTCTCTTCTGCTTCCCCGTGTTTATTTCAGCTGCTCTTAGGAGTTCGGAATGACCAGAACAACAAGAAGGCGACGCCGGGATTTAACGGCTTTCGTGAAACCGAGCTCAACGCGGCTAGTCGATATTGGGCCAGTGGTCTGGGAAAGCCTGCTTTAGCATCAAATAGGCCCGGACAAAGATTCTGGCCCAATGTTCACACTTCACAGAGACGAAGACGATTATGATTATGTGGAGGCACTTGGTATTGGAGCCTGGCATAAGTTTGGAAAAAATCCCAAAATACTCTAATTATTAAAAAAAATTCCCTAAATACAATACTTATAAACTTATTTCCCAAAATATAGCAGTTTCAACATCACTATTGTAGACCAAGACAGTGATGGCAATCACCGTTTTTGACCAAAACGGTGATAGCATCATCGCTTTCAACCAAAACAGTGATGATATCACCGTTTTGAACAAAAACAGTGATGTATTCCCCGCGCTTGTGCGAAACGGTGATAGTAGACCACATCATCGCCGTCGACAAAAACGATCATATCATCGCGATGGACCAAAACGGTGATAATTGACCACGTTTTAGCGCCCTAGTAGGTGGAAAATTAGGTCACAGCGACCTAGCTATCACCGCTTTGGATAAAAGCAGTGATGTGTTCACCGCAATTGTCCACAGCGGTGATAGCTGCCGTTTTTTCCTATAAATACTGACCACCACTTCCCCTCTTGCTACCTTACAGCAAATTAGTACAAAAATTAGTGTTTTATTAGTCGTTTTCTCAGCTGGTTTGGAGTTGGTTTACTGCTCAAGAAACTCGTCGGGATTCGGTATGTTATAATTATGTAATGTTTACATGTTGACGTGTTAGTAATAAATATGTCTGTATTTAGTGAATTGCGGTTATTGGAAAATATGCTATGATATATTTAGATTAATTATGATATGATAGATGTTAGTTAGTTAGTACTGAATTTAGATGAATTTGTTTAGTTTTCTCATGATAGATCGGGAGTCGGTATGTTATAATTATGTATTGTTTACATGTTGATGTGTTAGTAATAAATATGTCTGTATTTAGTGAATTGCGGTTATTGAAAAATATATTATGATATATTTAGATTAATTATGATATGATAGATGTTAGTTAATTAGTTATGAATTTAGATGAATTTATTTAGTTTTCTCATGATAGATCGGGCTTCGGTATGTTATAATTATGTATTGTTTACATGTTGATGTGTTAGTAATTATATGTCTGTATTTAGTGAATTGCGGTTATTGGAAAATATGTTATGATATATTTAGATTAATTATGATATGATAGATGGTAGTTAGTTAGTTATGAATTTAGATGAATTTGCTTAGTTTTCTCATGATAGATCAATTACATGCGTTTGTTTATGGGTTTGGATGATATTGTTTTTGTATCCCTAATGTACTAATTATATACTATACTTAATTATTATAAATTGCAGACATGGGTAAATTTAAGAAGTTTCGGCTTATTATTCGGTGGAATGGTCGGGTGACAAACTCGAACATTAGGATCGACTATGAAAATGGCGAATCCACTATGCTAAAAATTGAGTCGAGATTCTCGTGGCAAGAACTCCATGACATTTGTGCAGAAAGGACTTGTACGGGCGGGCAAAGGAGAGTTGGTCAAATTGCTTACCGCTATCCAAACATGAGTGCTGGCGGAATCATGTACGAAAAAGTTGTCATAAATGATGATGACTCGGTGAACATGATGATACAATTCCTATCTGACAACGGGGTGCGGCTTGCAGAGGTGTATGTCGAGACCGAGCCGGTCGGTGAAACTCATTCTCACCAGTATTCTTGTGATGATGGTTTTGCAGGAGGGTATGGCTAGGGTGGTAGTTCAAGTAACTACGGAGGAGGTACTTCTGCAGGAGGGTATGGCTGGGGTGGTACTTCAAGCAACTACGGAGGAGGTAGTTATGAAGGAGGTGTTGGGTGGGAAGAATACCCACAACATTCTGAGACTGCCGTCAATATCGTTCAGCCCGACGGTGATCAATGGCCTGCTTGGGGTCCAGAGTGGGTTGACATTGAGAACACCCTTCGATCTGGGCGTACTTCGCATGACCAAGAAGACGATGTTGGTTATGCTGGTAATGATGACCATCCTGAGTCGAGCTATCAATTCGCCTCTAGTGAAGATGAAAGTGAGGAATATTTGAGATCAGTCAGTGAGGAGGAAGATACGGACGATATCGACGATATCGATGACAGAGAGGTGGCGTTCCGTCAGGCACCAACGCCTTACTACACAGAGGTTCATGATCAATTTTTATATGGTCAGAACGATGCCCCTGACTTTCGGCCCATGCCTGTGTATAATCCGACTGCTAATTTGGAAGTGGGTATGGCGTTCACTTCGAAATCCGATGTGCAAGATGCTTTTAGCGAAGAAGCCATGCGGCATAACTTCGAATGGAAGGTAAAATATTCTGACACCAAACAATTGCATGTCATTTGTAAGAATGCTGGAGAGGGTTGTATGTGGCAACTTCGGGCTGCATGTATGAAGAGAAAGGTTGTCTGGGTCATGCGAACAGTAGAGAACAACCACAGATGCTCCTCAACCATACTTTCACAGGATCACCGGCAACTTAAAGCAAAAAAGGTGGCGAGAACCATTAAGCACCTAATCGAGGCACAACCAGATATCAAGATAAAAGCTATTATGGCCGAGGTGAAGGATCGACATTCCTACACCATAAGGTATAAGAAGGCGTGGCATGGGAAGCAGAAGGCTATGGCTGAGGTCTATGGTGATTGGGATGACTCGTATGCTTTACTCCCTCGACTAATGTCCGCAATGGAGGAGTCCAACCCTGGGACGGTTTTCGTGTCGTGGTACAACAACGTGCAAACTGAAGATCAAGTACAGAACGAGTTGATGTTTCATCGTCTGTTCTGGACATTCAAGCCAAGCATTGACGGGTTTCCCTTCTGCATGCCAGTGATTCAGGTATATTACGGACTCAAAATATTGTACTAGTTCATGGCCTTACTAAGTTAAATTTTTACTAACTAATTATTCATTTTTAACAGGTTGATGGAACTTTCCTTACTGGGAAGTATAAAGGAACTCTTCTCATTGCAACTGGGGTTGGTGGAAATTTAAGTATTTTCCTCTTAGCATTTGCATTAGTTGAAGGGGAGAACAACTTAAGTTGGGCATGGTTCTTTGACCAGCTACACGCCCACGTCACACAAAGAATGGGGATTACAATTATATCGGATCGACATGCCGGGATTAAACACGCCGTCGGTGGTTTTCCCGACGAATGGGGATGGACATGGCGCTGGTGTATTCGTCACTTCCTTGCCAATTTCCAACACAACTTTGGCAAGAAGAAAGACATAAGAGATCAATTGTGGAGTGCAGGTAATAATGTAATTCAGTGCTTGTTCATGGTTTATTGTTGAAATGAAATTTCTTATGGCTTAATTATTTATTCTCCGGTCTTGTAGCGGTTGCACATCAACCAAAAAAGTACGAGCATAAGATGAAGATGATCCGTCAGATACACTGGGCGGGAGCAATATGGGCAGAAGGTCAAGATCTGCACATGTGGACATTTCACATGGACAACGGGGCTAGATTCAGCATTGAAACTACCAACCATGGCGAGAGCATAAATGGAGTCTACAAGGGCATTAGGGCAATGCCTGTATCTGTCCTAGTGGAGATGACATACTGGAAGGTAAACGAGTGGTTTGTGAAGAGACGGGAGCTCGCTATAGGGAGGGAGCGTGCTGGTCATTCAATAGCACATCATATATTTGATGGCATGCCTAAGATCGAAGAGAAATCAAGTAAGCACAAAGTTGTTCTGTTCAACCGCAATGAAGGTATTTTTGCTGTGCAAACATGTACATGGGTGGAGGAAGACGTGGGCATAATCGTCAATCCGTTACTCTACACGAAGAAACTCGCACCGGAGAGTGTACATGCCAAAAGTATCAAAACATAAGAGTACCTTGTTCACATGCAATGGCAGTAGCTAAGTCGATAACCCTCAGCGTTTACGGTTTGGTTAGTCCTTACTATACGGAACAGGTGATCAAGAACTCTTACTCGTCAAGTTTCAGCCCCCTGCCGGATGAAGCTTATTGGCCTGTAGACAATGGGAAGTTGATTATCCCACCGTTGCACTTAAAGCGCACCAAAGGTCGTCCTAGGACCGAAAGGATTCACAATGAAATGGATCAATCACAACGTGCCCGACGAGGTCCAAAGCGTTGCTCAAAGTGCAGACAACCGGGTCATGACAAGAGGCGTTGCCCAGGTCCACCTCTAGAGCAAGATTCGGGGCCAATTCCGAACCAACCTTGAGTACTCTGTTGTTCACTTCCTTGTCATTTTCGTTGTTGTGATGTTTAAGTTGGACTTCTTGTTTTAATCTTGTTGAGTGATTGTAATGAAGGGTGTCTGTTGTTTACTTTGGTACAACATGGGGGGTAAAACAACACAATCCCAAACTAAATTAAGACGACATAGATAGTTCATGGAAAACAACACAATCCCAAACTAAATTAAGACGACATAGATAGTTAATGGAAAACAACACAATCCCAAATCAAATTAAGACGACATAGAAGGTTCATGGAAAACAACACAATCCCAAACCAAATTAAGACGACATAGATAGTTCATGGAAAACAACACAAGACCAAACTAAATTAGGACGACATAGATAGTTCACTGGTTGTCTTCATTTCCCTCCACTTCCCCTTCTCTTCCTCTTCCTCTTCCTCCACGACCTCCTCGACCCCTTCTTCCGCCTTCTCTACCTCCTCCTTCTTCACGAGCCCGCTGGACAACTGCTCGCGGA